TACAAGAAGATTTTTAAAATTTATTCTTATAATTCCTTTTGGTTGCCATGGCAACCAGATTTGTGCATGGAATGAAATTCTTTGAACAACTTTGGAAGCCCTTCACCCAAGGAACAATCCTGCCAAGTTTGGTTGAAATTGGACCAGTGGTTTTTCACAAGAAGATTTTTTAAGTTCACTATATAATCTATATAACACACACACAAACACACACACCAACACACACACCAACACACGCACACACACACAGGTGAATCGCTATATGCCACCGCATCGCAGATGCTGCGGTGGCATAAAAATAACATTTGTTAACATAAATTCCAAGATCAAGGGGAATAATTCTAGAAATAGTCATGCTAGAGTTATGGACCTTGCCACACAACATTTGTGTAATGATAAGAAATATATAATTGAAGTTTGAAGTAGATACCTTAAAAAGTAAAGAAGTTATTATATTTCTTAAAGAAAATCCTAAGTTCAAAGAGAGATAAATCTGTAAATATTGCTTCAAGAGTTATGAACATTGTCACATAAAATGTAATTGATGATAAGGAATAAGTATTTGAAATTAGAGGTAGATACCTTTAAAGGGAGACACAGGCAAAATTTTCATTTCTTAGTTTTGAATTTTTCATTCATTTTTCTGTAAATGTCCTCAAAATGAATACACTAAACAGTCAAAGGAACAAAATTTTTCTCCATATAAAGAATAAAATGGTGTTTTTCTAACTTGACCCGCGTGGGTCAGGTTACAGCGCTAAGAGTTCATAATAGTTGTCACTGTGTACTCTGGAAACGTTAAAGAACAAGTCAAATCAATAACTTAGACTTGTTTCAATCATACAATATCCATAATACCTGTTATTGTAACTTCCAGAGTTTGTTTCAAATCACATGACTTGTTTTTAAACTATTCGGTGATTCTGTTGGCGTCTAAATTTCGTTCAGCATATATAGATATATTCAAGCTTCAAACCCAAAATATATAGAATTCATACAGAAATTCATGCTGGGACTTAAAGAACTGTCATTTTAAGGTGATCTGTGTACAGAAGATCATTTTTATATTTTTGTCATTATTTTGCCTGAGTATCCCTTTAAAAATAAAAAAGTTATAATAAAAAATAACATTTTTCTAGTAAAAAAATCTAAGTTTATGGGGAGTTAATTCTTGCAATATTGGTGCTAGAGTTATGAACCTTGTCGAATAAGATGTGGATGATGATAACGTAAATATATTTGAAGTATGAAGTTGATCCCTTTAGAAATAAATAAGTAACAGTAAAAAATAAATTTTTTTTATGGAAAATTCTAAGTTAAAAGGGAGATAAATCTGAAAATATTTGTGCTAGAGTTATGAACCTTGTCACATAAGATGGGGATGATGATAACGTAAATATATTTGAAGTATGAGGTTGATCCCTTAAGAAATAAAGAAGAAACAGTAAGAAATAGTATTTTTTTGAGGAAAATTCTAAGTTCAAGGGGAGATAAATCTGAAAATATTGGAGCTAGAGTTATGAACCTTGTCACATAAGATGGGATGATGATATAAGGTATATATATTTGAAGTATGAGGTTGATCCCTTAAGAAATAAAGAAGAAACAGTAAAAAAATAGTATTTTTTAAGAAAATTCTAAGTTCAAGGGAGATAAATCTGAAAATATTGGTGCTAGAGTTATGAACCTTGTCACATAAGATGGGATGATGATAAGGTATATATATTTGAAGTATGAGGTTGATCCCTTAAGAAATAAAGAAGTAACAGTAAAAAATAGTATTTTTTAAGGAAAATTCTAAGTTCAAGGGGAGATAAATCTGAAAATATTGGTGCTAGAGTTATGAACCTTGTCACATAAGATATGGTTGATGATAAGGAACATATATTTGAAGTTTGAAGTTGATACCTTAAGAAATGACAAAGTTATAGTGAAAAATATTTTACTGCACCAAAACTTTAATCTAAAATCTGGACGCGGACGCCGACCCCGGGGCGAGTAGGACAGCTCTCCATTTACTTCGTATAGTCGAGCTATTGACCCTGTGACACCTATATGCACAACTAGACTTGGTACTGATAATTTCTGTAAAGTTTTCATGAATTTGCACCAGTAATTGTTTTGAAAAGTAGCCTGGACAAGTTTTTGTGAGGGGCGGACAGACAGACAGATGACAGAGAAGTGATTCCTATATTACTGTTGAAACTACACTGTAGAGGTGACACAAAATAATTAAAGGGCCATTACTCTGACAAAAATCATTGAACTGGAAAATGCTGAAGATATGCACAACTTAACTGGGTACTGATCATCATTTGAATGAAATTGCACCTGTAGCTTTTGAGTAGTCTGGACATGTTTTGTGACAGACAGATGGGCAGACAAACAGTAGAAAGAGATTTATATATAGGTCCTAATTGCTTTGCAGCATGTATCAGCTAATGTGTAGCAGGCAACACAAAAATAACTAATGGGCCAAAACTCCTTTTCATTCAAGGGCCATAACTCAGTCACAAATCATTCAACCAAAACCCGTGTGATATGCACAAGTATTTGAGCTATGGATCAATCCTGTAAAGTTTCATTCAAATTATATCAGTGGCATAAGGGAAGAAGTCGAGACAAATTTCAAAAATAAATATCATTACAGGGCATTAACTATGTATTACAAAAATCATTGAACCTGAAAATGTAAACGATCTTGATACTGATTATTCTTGTAATGATTAGATGAAATTGCACCTGAGGAGCAGTCCAGACAAAATTTGATACAGATGGGCAAAAACTCATTTTTTCATCCAATGGCCATAAGTTATCCACAACTCAGTCAAAAATTCTTCAGTAAGAATACCTGTGTATTATGTTCAAGTATTTAAGCCATCAATTAAGCCTATAAAGTTTCATTCAAAATGCATCCCCAGAATAAAAGAAGTATTCCAGACAGACTTAAAAAAATAAAAATCATTAAAAGGGCCACAACTCTGACAAAAATTACTGAACTGGAAAAGGCCAATGATATGCACAACTTAACTTTGTACCGATTATCATATCCAGTAAAGTTTGGATGAAATTGCACCAGTGGTTTTTTAGCAGTAGCCCGGATAAGTGAAGGACAGACAGTCTCTGTCAGACAAAGGAGAAGTGATTCTTATATGTCACCACTACTTTGTAGCAGGCAACACAAAAACCATTTTAGATTGCTGCAGAGGATCTAACCATTCAGTAATGAAATCAGTAACTTAAATTCAACTTTTGAGAAAATATTTCGAGTAAACTTATTTGGATTATTTATCAATTTATGACTACCAAAAAGGTGACAGACCATGTTTTGAGAAAATCCTTCTAATGATTAAGGGGCCAATTCAAATTTTAAGTTATTTATACTTAAGCTTTTAAAGCAACTGACCAATGCAATTCATTTGAGTTGTAACTTGATAGAGAATTATCAAAGGTTGATACTAATAAGTTTGATAATAGGGTCAGTAACTGAAGATGTTAAAATGCTTTCATATGTTTAACTCTTGCGGCCTCATAAATTGTTATATGAATACAAGAGCGATCAGTTATCACATGTGTTGCCTGATGATAGACAATAATTATAATGTTGCAGACTTCAACTTACTGTGTAGCAAGAGACACAAAAATCATTAACAGGCCAAATTTATTTTTAATTTAATGGCCATAACTCGGCCAAACAGAAAGCCTGTTTTATATGCAAGAACTTGAGGTACCGATCATTCCTGTAAAGTTTTACTTGAATAAAACAAATGGCAGTTAGTCCATACAAAACAACTAAAAATCATTAAAGGGCCATAACAATGACAAAAATCATTAAACCAGAAAATGTCAATGATATGCACAACTGGACTTGGTACAGTAAATTTGGGTAAAATTGCACCAGTTGTTTTTGTGGAGTAATTCTGACAAGTTTTGTGATGGATGGACAGATGGACAGACAGACAACTTACTAGGAGTGACCATTACTCTGTAGCAGGTGACTAAAAAATGCCATTGAGGGCACAAATAAAGCAACTATACAGCAAATCAAAAGCAAATCTTACAAGAACCTTTAGAGGTTAGCCCTTCTTTAAGCTAAAACAGAATGCAACACACAAAAAAAGGTTTAAAAACTGAGTTTTATTTAAAAAGAAAACAATATTACATTTACAATTGAACCAATTATTCTTAAACAGATAAAAAGCCACACATACAATGTACACAAAAATAAAGACAGGAACCACAATATATAAAATCTGCTATTCCAACGCTTACATAGAAAAAATCAAAGCACTGAAGGCTCTGATCTAGTTCTGTCCCACAAGGGGATATCAGTGACAAGTCTTAAACTTTATGTAATATGTATATGTTCCATTTATATTAATTCTACATGTTAAAAAATTTCCATATTAAATAAATTACTGGTACTATGAACAATTATATCTTCAAACATTATGAAATGTAATCTTTTTAGGTTCTATATGTTTTTGTAAAGTCCAACTGAATTATTTCTAAATAATTTTTTCAATTATTTCTTTTAACTATATGTACATAATGAAAATCAATGACCCCCAGTGTGGGGACAATTTTGACCCTTGGGATGTAATTTGAACAATCTTGGTAGAGATAGTAACACTACACATGCCCTAGCCTTTTAGCTTTTTACTATATACATTATTATAAGGAAAACCTATGACCCCCAGGGTAGGGGCTAATTTTGACACTAAGGATAAAATTTGAAGAACTTTGGGCCTTGTTCTTTCAGCCAAGATATTTTTTAATTTGCATATTTGAAACTCCTTTTCTGGCCCCATGAGCTACTTATGCAACAGACCAGAACCATTTAAGAACTTTGAAAGGGCACCACCCAAGGATCATTCCTGTAAAGTTTAGTTACTGTGCAGTCATTTGTTTCAGAGATGTTGTTTAAAGTAACTGTTGAAGACACATTACAGGGGATAACAATAGCTAAAAACTAATGAGGTGGCATAAAAACAATAATTCTATGTAAAACTTTCTTCCAGTACTTCAGTAAAAACAACGTTATAACAATTGCTTGCATGGTCCATAACAGCTTTTTTTTTAGAGAAGGTCAATCCGCATGCAACACATGTATATGAAAACCCATGCTTTGCTTTCATATGTTTTTGCAAATATTTCTGACTTAAAAACATCGCTCCACAGTCGCCGCAGTTATGTCTCTCTGTACACGGCTCTTGAGAACAGGACCACTTGTGCTCCTCTATATTCTTGAACTTTCGTCCACATTTATCACATTCTGTGAACTTGAACCCTTCAACGTGCCTCCGCTCATGTTCCATCCGTTTCTTCCGACACGATAACATTTTATCGCACACCTTACACGTTAGGTCATTCTTCGGGTCGTTGCCATGTTTATACTGATGGTGGACCAGAAGACCCGATTTATTTTTATACATCTTCCCACAAACGTCACATATGTGTAAGTTTCCGGACTTAGCCTCATGTACATTCTGAATATGGTGCTTCAGCTCATCAATGCGATAGAAGCCTTTACTACATATATGACACCTGTAACTTTTCTCACCATGTCGTACCATGTGTTTACTCAAAGTATTTTTACTGGAAAATATCTTAAGACATACGGTGCATATAAGGGGTTCAGAATTCTTTTTCACTTGATTCTGAAAAAAATAAAGAATGTTTCTTTTTACATATTAAACCACATTTTTATTCTTTCATGCAGTATAAATATCCATCAAAAACAATATAAGAAATAAATATTTAGAAATCAAGAAAAAATAATTATTAGCCACAACCTTGTAAAAAAATATGGAGAAAGGATTCTCCAAGAAAGCATAATTTTCGTGTACAGGATAAAACTCGTCAAAAATTTCGTATTTGACGTTGATCGTCAATGTCAATTAAGTTTTAATAATTTTACACTGATGGTCAAGGTCATGTAAACTGTAAATGTCAAGGTCATATTTGAATATCCAACATACAGGTTTTGTCATAATTGGGTTTTGTTGTCCAAATATAAATCCATTTCGTAAATAAATATCAAGATTATGAAAATCCAAGCTAAATTCAATATTTGACAATGACAGTCAGTCATCTAAAGGTCAAGGTCATATTTTAATTATTCAACATGTCAGTGTTGTTATATGTGATCTTTTCAAGGTATAAATAAATTCATAAATGAAAAACAAAAGTTATGGCCGATTGTAGCAAAGTTTACAAATTTGGCCATTAGTGTCAAGGTCAAATTAAACTCAAGTTCAATTCAATCTTCTTTTTTGTCTTGTCCCATGGATTATTGTGCCAAAGTATGGAGAAAATCCATTTATTACAATGTACTTACCAAACAAGTTATAGCCTATTCAAGCAAAAAAACGGTGAAATTACAATAATTTTCGGGTTTTCAAAATCTTAAGACATTGTTCTTAAGGCTGTTGTGCTCAAGTATAAAGACAATCCATTCACAAATAAATAACAAAGTTACAAGCAATAATAGTGAAAATCAAGCAAAATTCAATCATTTGACCTTCAAGTTCAAGGTCATTGTTGAGTGAAGGTCAAAATCAATTTGGTATACTTGAAGGTCTTGTCCTAGGTCTTGACCTAAGGATTGCTGTATCCAAGTATGAAGACAATCCATTTATAAAAATAACAAAGTTATAGCATATTTAGTGAAAATCATTCAAAATTCTATTATTTGACCTTGAAGGTCAATGTCATTTATGTGCTATGGTCAGTAATGTCATGTCTGCTTGAAATTCTTGTCCAAAGAGTTGTTGAGACAATCCATTAAGATATAAAAAGAAAAATAATGGCAAATGTTAAAAGTTTCCGGATGGAAACCCGACTGTAGCAAAAGCTTGAAATCTTTCTTAGAAAAAAGTTGAGCTAAAATCATAAACATTATTTAGACATTGGTCAAACTAAATTAAAAGAATACAATGTGTATTTTATTCAATCCAGCCTGGGCATAGATGGGAAAACAACTATATATAGATCATAAAAATATGGGTGACTTACAATACAATACAATACAATACAATACAATGTGACTTGTAGTACATATGAGTATTAAACATCTATACATGTAAAAACTTCTGTATGAATATATATACATATATACATGTAAGGCATACAGTTAACAAGGTATTGACAAAAGAGAACACATTTTTCCTGTGATGATAATGAATGGCAGGAATGATTTGTAAAATAAAATATTAATTAAAATAAACCTTTTACTCTTTTATTTAGTTCAGCAGGCAACATATTATTTACACAAATGAAAATGATCTACACACTTGACACTGAAATAAAATAACCAGAAGAACCACTTAGAGCAAGTTCACATTACAACAAATAGAAAATAAAATTAAAATTTCACATAATATTTTAAACTCATAACAAGGGTGCCATAGTCACAAAATACTCCCGTTTACGAAAGCTTTAGATGGAGATGGGGGCATTATGGATAAGTGTTATCTAGCAAGCAAGTTTTTATTCTTGGCACTGTGTTGTTAAATGAACCTTAAAACAAATCAGTAGGGAAGATATGCACAGGATGTGTGACCTTGACCTTGGTCGCAGGGACCTGAATTTTATGCACGGCACTCAGCCTCACAATGATGAACATTTGTGCCAAATTATATTGAAATCCCTCTATGCATGTAGAAGTTTTGCTCCAGACAAGCGTTTTTCTATGAGCTCTAACTGTGACCTTCACCTTTGACCGAGAGACTTGGTTCATGTGCAGGGCACTACGTCTCATGGTGGTGAACAATTCTATAAAGTAACATTAAAATTCCTCCATGCATGTAGAAAATATGCTCCAGACAACATCTGGATATTTAATCATCTCCAGTGACCTTGACCTTGCAAATATTAACCTAAATTAAATGTGTCACACCTGTAGTCATGATAGTTACCATTTGTGCTACAATCCATCAATAAATGATGACTAAATGGTCCCTATACACATCTTTAAATTTTTATCTGAACTTTGACCTCTATTTGTAACCTTGACTTTGGTCGCAGGGATCTGAATTTTGCGTGCGACACTCAGCCTCACAATGGTGAACATTTGTGCCAAGTTATATTGAAATCCCCCTATGAATGTAGAAGTTTTGCTCCAGACAAGCGTTTTTCAATGAGCTCTAAGTGTGACCTTGACCTTTGACCTGGAGACCTGGATCATGCATGGAGCAATACATATCATGGTGGTGAACATTTCCATAAAGTATTATAAAAATTCTTCCATACATGTAGGAGATATGCTCCAGACAAAATCTGGATATTTCACCATCTTTAGTGACCTTGACCTTGCATATATTGACCTAAAGTACATGTGTCACAGCTGTAGTTATGATAATGACCATTTGTGTTACAATCCCTCAATAAATGATGATTAAATCGTCCCTATACACATCTTCATATTTTTATTTAAACTTTGACCTCTATGTGTGACCTTGACCTTGGCTGCAGGGACCTGAATTTTGCGCGCAACACTCCGCCTCACAATGGTGAACATTTGTGCCAAGTTATATTGAAATCCTTCTATGCATGTGGAAGTTTTGCTCCGGACAAGCGTTTTTCAATGAGCTCTAAGTGTGACCTTGACCTTTGACCTAGAGACCTAGTTCATGTGCGTGACATGGCTTCTCATAATGGTGAACATTTCTATGAAATTTCATTAAAATCCCTCCATGCGTGTAGGAGATATGCTCAGGACAAAATCTGGATATTTCATCATCTTTAGTGACCTTGACCTTGTATATATTGACCTGAATTATATGTATCACAGCCATAGTCTTGATAATGACCATTTGTGTTACAATCCCTCAATAAATGATGACTAAATGGTCCATATACACATCTTCATATTTTTATCTGAACTTTGACCTCTATGTGTGACCTTGACCTTGGCCGCAAGGACCTGAATCTTGCGCGCGACACTCCGCCTCACAATGGTGAACATTTGTGCCAAGTAATATTGAAATCCCTCTATACATGTGGAAGTTTTGCTCCGGACAAGCATTTTTCAATGAGCTCTAAGTGTGACCTTGACCTTTGACCTAGAGACCTGGTTCACGTGCGCGACACTGCTCCTCATAGTGGTGAACATTTCTATGAAGTTTCATTAAAATCCCTCCATACATGTAGGAGATATGCTCCGGACAAAATTGGACGCCGCCCCCCCCAAACGGGCGTATAAAATGTAATAAGCTACATCATAATGTACTTAATGTAATAAGACTAAAACAAGGGGTAGAACATAAATCATGTTGCTTGGTGCTTTTGGCGAGAAAAATGTGCAGTCTATGACTTAATGGTGGCAGTATTTAAGCTACATGCCTCCAGATAAGCCAAAATATTTCAATAAAATCAAACTTAAAAAATATAACTTAGACTTAAGGAATGTAAAAATATTTAAATAATAATTGGCATGTTGTATGTGGTTAATGACTGATTTTTTCTCAATATTTTGACTATATTTCTACTGCATTACTAACACATTAAAGGCTTTTTTTTGGTTGCATTTTTACCTCATTTTAGTAATTTACGTGAGTTGTAAGTGCAATTAATGAGGTGCTAATTGCTTCCTTTTGGTCACTTCACATTATTATACGTTTACACATATTTTAAAAATTTTCATGAAAATTTGCATAAATCTTGAGGCATACTGCTTTAACAAACTTGGCTTAAACTATAAAATAATTAAGTCTTTACTATCTTGCTAAATAGAAAATTAGATACACATGATAAAAAGTCCAAAATATATTGAAAGTCAAAAGAACACATTAATTTAGCAATAAAATGAATTATATATAATGACAACAGCTGTATAATTTTTTTGTGCTAGATATCTGCAAACTCTGTGTGACTTTTACAACATGGCTCTAAACACTGATAGCTTTGATCATACTGCAGTACATGACTTGTACATCAAATAAATTCTGCTTGATCCGGTATTAACCTAAAAGAACTCTTCAATATTTTTGATATGTAGTGTAACTCAACATAACAATTTCAAATTAATATCAAACAAAAATATAAACATTTGAAATTGAATTTGCAAAAATCAAATGGTAAATCTCTTGAATCTATCTCTATTAATATGCACCCTGATAATGTCTGATATAATAAAACATGATTATGTGTCCAAATTTGTATCAATCATTTGAATGGAATAGCTATGTAGTTTCCAGATCCAATGTGTGTTTTTTTGCTTTCAAGTGCCGTTCTAAGATGCTTTTTCTGCTGAAAGTTTTGCCACATAAATCACAAACATAGGCCTGCGTGTTAAGATGGATATTCCGAATATGACCTCTCAGAGAATCGGAGCTCTTAAACGTCCTTTCACAAAAAGCGCATGTTATCCGTTCCTGTGGTTGATCTGAACATATTTTGACATGTGCCTGAAAGTTGCAATGTATCGGAAAGGACTTTCCACACCTTAAACACTCGTATTTATTTCCAATATTGTGTACTTTGCTCTGATGAAGTTTTACCTAAAAAAGAACGAACCAAAATGAGTTATGCAAGGCTTCTCAATATCAATGATCTACACTGTACACTTATTAGGTTTGAGGTCAGAATTAAGGCTAAATTTGATTTCTAGGAGGGGTCTAGGGGCATGCTAACTTTGAAATTTTTTTAATTAAACCCTTGTCAATACCCAAGCAGTAAACCAAAGTCTTTTTCAAAAGGGATTGATATATTAATCAGCAATAGAATGTCCCTATAAGGTATAAAAGATTGTAAATGATCATTTTAGTCTGCTTACTTAGCTTAGATCTGAAATTTGCTGGTTCGATCCTCGAGCAAGGAGAAATTTCCGTGATAATCGATCTCGGACATTGACTCTAATGGTCATTTGTGCCTCAAACAAATGTATTTGAAATCATGTGGTAGCTGGTCACTTGCGTAGTAATTGGTAAATACATATACTTATGAGTTATCCAGAAAAACCTGTTAGGTGGATCCCAGTGACATGATCAAAAATGTGCTAAAATCAAACAGACAAAATTACTTACTTGGTACGTATAGGAGAATGATTCATCACAAAGATCACACTTGTGTGGTTTGGCACACTGGTGCAGGGCCATCTCATGCCTTTTCATGGAGTATTTTTCATAAAAACCCTTCCCACACACCCGGCAATGGTGAAGTTCCGCATTTGAGTCATGCAATTTCATGTGTCTGCTCATATGACTTTTTGAATATGTTTTCCCACAAATTTTACATTCAAAAGGTTTTTTTGAACTCTCCATCTGGAAAAAAATTACTGGTTTGTAAAATTTCATCTGCATAAACTGCTCTCTGTCAATTATATACATGCATAATAATAATTTAATAATATACAGACAATGTTCAAACACAAGACCTTAGCCTTTTCCGAAAATATTAATATTTGAACATAACATGAACCGACAGGATCTGTTCTTTTTATAAGTTCAGCTCATGAACAATAACAATCCACAGTAATATTGTATATTGTTTTGATGTTGTATCATGATATGGAGCACATATGCACATATGGACCACAATAATCACTGACTTCCCAAAGAATTAATAAATCAAGGATTAATTTGTATGCTTTAGTCAGTGTTTGACCTTAGAAACAACAAAGAAGTCTAAAAAAACTGCATCAAATGACAATACAAGAAATAATTGAAGAAATTTAGTGCAGCATTTAAATCCTTTCAAAAACAGTTCATATTTAACAAAAAAAAATCAAAAGTGTAAAAACTCACCATTTATATTTCACAAAAAAGCTCTCCACATATGGATGTTAAACTCTCAGAAATACTTCCAAAAAAAACAACAAGAACACGTATTTGATTAACAAATGTGTGTTTTGCTGTTCCATATAAGGCTGGTCCCCCTTGATCAATGCCTTTACAGAAACTTCAACTCTGATTACAGTTGTCTTGATGCAGTTTTTTTTTACATTATTTCTGTTTTATTTTCCGTTTTGCTGGGAATTTTGCAGTCTCTTCAGATATATTTTTTCTCCTATTTTGTTATGTTGTATCATGATGCATATAATACATACCGTAAAATTCCTATTAAACGCCCTTGGGGGCTAAACATTTTCCAAAAGGGAGGCTATTATTACAACACAGTTTTTCCTACATCCTATAATCACTGTAAATACATTTAGTATTAGCAAGTGTTGGTAATAACATAAAAAGTATTTAGGTTATACATATTTGTGTTTACTACAAAATACTATGGATTCTGAATGATTTGAATAAAATTATGGCTTTAATTATGAGTTCAGCACTGATGAGTAGATTGTTTTCCTTAGGGGGGGGGGGGGGCCTTTATTAGGGAAGGGGCGTTTATTAGGAATTTTACGGTAGGTGATATTGCATAAGTGTGCTGATCTGATGGTTTGATATTGCAAAGTTTAATATAACTAGTATCATAAAATCAACTCCCTCACAACTTAATGCAGGAAAACAAGGAGTTGCAATACATAAAATCAAATCAGGTGTCTGTATTACTTATGTTGAGAGAGGTATGATAATTAAAAGAAATTTTTGACACAACTGTTGGGGTAACAGGAAGTATTTCAAATTTAAATGACATGGTAAAATCCTAATTAGTTTGACTCATATATATTCAATCCACCTGGAATATATTCCAAGTTAGGTAAAAATGGTAAACAAGAGGGCCATCATCACCTGTATATAGCCCCCCCCCCCCGGGCCAATTTTTACCCAAGGGCTTTTATTTGTTTATTTGAACAGACTTGGTAGACACCCATAAGAAGATGTTTCATGCTAAACATCTAAGTTCTAGCTCATTGGGTTTTTTAAAAGAAGATATTTAAAGTTTTTACTATATGCATATAGGGAAAATCAATGACCCCCTGGGACGGGGCCAATTTTGACCCCAGGGCTTTTATTTGAACAAACTTGGTAGACATTCACTAGAAGACGTTTCATGCCAAATATCTAAGCTCTAGCTCTTATGGTTCTTTAAAAGAAGATTTTTTAAGTTTTTACTATATGCATATAGGGAAAATCAATGACCCCCCGGGGCGGGGCCAATTTTGACCCCAGGGCTTTAATTTGAACAAACTTGGTAGACACTCACTAGAAGATGTTTCATGCTTAATATCTTAGCTCTAGCTCTTTGGGTTCTTTAAAAGAAGATTTTTTAAGTTTTTACTATATGCATATAGGAAAAATCAATGACCCCCTGGGGCGGTGCCAAAAGAAGATTTTTTAAGTTTTTACTATATGCATATAGGGAAAATCAATGACCCCCCGGGGCGGGCCAATTTTGACCCCAGGGCTTTAATTTGAACAAACTTGGTAGACACTCACTAGAAGATGTTTCATGCTTAATATCTTAGCTCTAGCTCTTTGGGTTCTTTAAAAGAAGATTTTTTAAGTTTTTACTATATGCATATAGGGAAAATCAATGACCCCCTGGGGCGGGGCCAATTTTGACCCCAGGGCTTTTATTTGAACAAACTTGGTAGACATTCACTAGAAGATGTTTCATGCCAAATATCTAAGCTCTAGCTCTTACGGTTCTTTAAAAGAAGATTTTTTAAGTTTTTACTATATGCATATAGGGAAAATCAATGACCCCCCGGGGCGGGGCCAATTTTGACCCCAGGGCTTTTATTTGAACAAACTTGGTAGACACTCACTAGAAGATGTTTCATGCCAAATATCTAAGCTCTAGCTCTTAGGGTTGTTTAAAAGAAGATATTTAAAGATTTTTCTTTCGGTTGCCATGGCAACCAGAGTTCTGCATGGAATTAAATTCTTTGAACAATTTTTAAAGGTGACCACCAAAGGAACATTCCTGTGAAGTTTGGATGAAATTGGCTTAGTGGTTTATGAGGAGATGTCATTTAAAGCAAAAGTTTACGGACGGACGCCGGACGGACGGACGCCGGACGAAAAGCGATCACAAAAGCTCACCCTGTCACTTTGTGACAGGTGAGCTAAAAAACCATACTATATACATGAAGCGTGAAATGCCAGAGAAAAATATTCTAATATTCATCCTGCCTTTGTATTTTCCCAAAACTTTTGCGTAAAATTTAAGTTCTTAGGATTCCTACCAAGAAACTGGTGGCCCTATTAAAATCGTACCACGAAAATTATTGATACTTAAATGAAAATTGATCCATTTAGCCAGTCAGTCCATAAAACTTGAATCATTTTGAGCAATATTTCATTAACTTAATATTCTTAATATTTAATATTCTTAATATGAGCCGCGTCACGATAAAACCAACATAATGCATTTGCGACCAGCATGGATCCAGACCAGCCTGCGCCTCCACCCAGTCTGATCAGGATACATGCTGTTCGCTTACAAACCCTATTACAAGTAGAGAAACTGAAAGCGAACAGCATGGATCCCGACTGTGCGGATGCGCAGGCTGGACTGGAGCCATGCTGGTTGCAAATGCATTATGTTGGTTTTATCGTGACGCGACTCATATCCTGTCTCTTATAGTCCCACATGCTTTTCTTACATGCTTTACAGAGGTTTTAAAGTTTGCATGCTGCAAAACTTCAATATTGATAACAACAACAGTATTGTCAATACTGATTCAGACCAATCAGATTTAATGATTGAAATGGACATGAATGACTATACACCTAAAAATGACTCTAGTTTACTTTAAGATTAATTGATAATGACTGTAAATATAGCTTTATATTACTGTAATATGCACACACCACATGTCATGTACTTGAAATTTTGCATTTATTCCATACTCTAATATATCTATGTTATATTGTACAGTATTTATTTGATTTCTATTGATTCAAGATAAAAAGTTCCTGTTCTAATTCATCATAACAACAAAAACAGACAGATACATTTTGTAAAGATCTTTTTTTAAATATTTAATTTTATTTAATTATCCCATTTTACATTATCAAACAAATTTTAATCACAATATTAACACAATGCAGTATACATCTCTTTGCATACACAAAACATTCATGAAAGAATTTATCTTGCTATTGACAACTGATTCTAACAATGTCACCAGTGAAGACTGAGATCAGATCCATGCCGTATGATCATTTCCACAGTTTGTTGCTATGTCAATACATTTTTATGATTTTTTTTCTCACAGAATAGATTATAACTTTATCCTAATTAAAGGATTGCCAGAAAAGACACTGGCCAAATCTTATAAAGTGTTATTAGATATAGAACTGTGACAATTATTATTTTATTCCTTAATGTTAAAATAAGATTGCTAAATTATATAAATAGGAATTTGATGTTACCAAAATGAAAATATAACATATGGCAACTTTCCAACATTAAAAGTGTGGCTGAAGACCTAAGGTGCCCATCAGAACATTATTTCAGGCATAAGCTGACACCAGAGTAGAACCACCAACCTTCCATAAGCTAACTAGATAGCTTCCTCACTTGGAAAAACCTGAAATTTCTGACAGGATTCAAACCCCAGCTCTGAGGTCAAGTGATTTAAACTTGGCAACCTTTACCACTCTGCCACTGAGGATGTTGCAGCTCAAATAATTAAGGGTACGTACAATAACCATAAATATCTTGCAAAAGTTTGAGAAGTTTGTATTCACTTAAAGGCAAAGCAATAGATGAAATATAAATATAAACATTATTATATTGATAATCAATTTTTAATGCGATTTTTGGCTGCTTTGAGTGAAAAGCGTTGCAACGTTTTTCATTTAATGGGCCTAATTGCACAATAAAATAGATTATTTCCGGGAAACTGAGGGAGCTAATAATCTGATATCTTGTACACAAGTTATTTGTCTAGACATACATCTAGTTACACAAAAATCTTTGAAAAAAAATATTTTCGGTCCCTTCACGTTAAAAAACCTCAGTTGAGTCCCTTTAACATAAGGAAAGTATTCAAAACACTTAATTTTGGTACAAAAATTTTCTGTCTTTAAATTACTCTCCTGGCATGCACAGTTCATTTAAAAAGTTATGCAAAGTGTTCATACGAATTCATGTGAGGTTTTCTGATGTTTTATCAAACCAGTCTGGTATTTATATGTCAGTCCACAATAAACACATGGAAACACATTATTGCCGTGTTGCGCACTGACATGCCTTGCCAATGACGCTCTGCTGTTGAATAAGGCACCACAGTCATCACATTGATACGTTCTAGTTCCAGTACACACTTCTTGATGCTCATTACGCTTGTATCTATTACAATACTTTCTGTCACACCCTTTACAACTATGAGGTTTTAAACCAGAGTGTGTATTTAAGTGGTCTTCATAAAACTCCTTTCTGATGAAAGTTTTATCACATCCAGCATATGAGCACTTAAATTGTCTTTCTCCGTGTAAAAGTTGCATATGATATTTAAGGTTCCCTTTACTATCAAATCCTTTGCCACATTTACAGCACATATAAGGTTTGACATGCCTTTTGGCTTTATGTTCTTCATATTCTACCTCTGTATCAAAGAAGAGAGTACATTTTCTACAAGGGATCTTAGAATTTTCATGCATCTTGATGTGGCGTTTCAATGATTTCTTATTTTTATAGGATCTATCACATACTGGGCAGTTAAATCTGTCAGAAGTTCCCTTTGAAATCTCTTTTTCCATCTTGACAATTAAATCATTCAAAGTCTCCTCTGCAATTTGTTCACTGTCTGACTGAAAAAAACGTGATTATAGTGAAATTAAAAAGTGAAACATCACCATTTAATTCAATATACACATATAAGCATCATTTACATGAGTGTAATGAAAGTATTCAGAACAATTACATGGGCGCAAGTTGAAAATTTGGAAAAACCTGAAAACCTTTATATATAATCATTTTTCTACATAATCTAATAGTAAAACGTGATGAAATTTGTCTAAAAAAAACCTGAGCTTCAGGCATATGCCTGAAAACTTGCACCCATGCAATTAATAGGTTTATTCAAACACATATATTTTCTAATAATTCTGCTAAAGAATCCCTGGCACACAATATTAAGATTTCACTGTTTTTTATCATTATCTTTTCTCGCTACATTTTCTAGAAGTCGAAGCCTTGTCAATATCCTGGTAGAGACAGAATGTGAAATATATTATTGCATAAGTTGTAACGGTGCAATTTTGACCTGAAAACTAAGCCTTTATGACTGAAGACTGACGAATTATTTGAATGAATGAGTCTTCATATCAAAAAGCATTAAGTCATTTTCGAATCAAAACGTAAACTGTTAACAAAGTCAATCATTCACAAGCTGTGAAGCAAGACTTTATTAAGACAGGCTTCGAGTTAACCGTAAATAAGTTCACTGTAAATATGTGCCAAGCTTTGAATTTAAAACACTCCAATCAAAGTGAAAGAAATTTCAATAAAGTACAAGAGTGAAGGTTGGCCTAGTTCTAGACCAGCATGGGGCAAATGCCACTAAGTGTTGGTTACGGCTGGCTATGTTTTAACATTAATTTTTTTGAAAATTGTAAAATGTAAAAGCATGACAAAATACTCACATTTTATCTCTACCGTGTTTTGCTCAATCTGTATACTGTTAGACTGTAATATAGCTGACTTCAACTGTTGATCTTGCCTTCTATTGAAAGGTGTCTTAAATATAGTATAGTTCATGTTGGCCTCACTTAGTGTGGCTACATCGACTGTGGTAACTCTAGTGTTATTCAACTTAGTTCAATATAGAAACTAAACTGAACAACATCTCATCCCTTTATAAAGATCATTCAGTTTAATGAAATCTTACAAATTGCAATAATAGTAGCTTGAACTTACTTTGTTTGTAGTGCTTTCACTCGCTACAGTATCATCAACAACAGAACCATCTGCAGACTCGACACTTTCACCTTTTCCACTTGCATTTTCAACACTTTCCGCTGTTTCTACCTCATTATCATATTCCATGTCGTCTTTATCTCTAAAATCATCATCACCATCACCATCAGTGTCCTCATTCAATGAACCTGTATCTGGAGATTCATTTTCATCGTTATCCCTTTCAATCTTAATTTCAAACTGAGAATCATCTTCTGCCTCTATTGCCTTTGTACTTTCTGTGCCTTTATTTTCATTAGATTCCTCTACTGTAGCAACTGTTTTATCTTTCGCACCTCTAGTTTGTTTCACCGGAATCACTGGCTTCTTCAGAAGTGATGTTGCTTTCCGTTTCCCTTTTCTTGGTATGAAAGTTTTCTTTCTTTCCATGTTTGATAGAATGGAATTTATTTTAATTGTAGGAAATGATGGTTTAACAACTGGGAACATGTTTGTCTCTGGAAAAATTGTTTCTTCATCAGGATCTTGTTTACATGGAATGCTAGGTCCTAATTTGTCTGTGGTAACTGACAAATCTGTAAAGATAAAGAACAATATTTGATAAAAATGCAATTAATCTTGAACTTAACTTAAACAGGACTGGAGCTGTACCTCAAGACAATTGCAGAAATCATGATCACAAAATAGACAAATTTTCTCTGATTATTATGTTTTTCATTCATTATCATATATAATTTTTGGTGTGAAACGATAAAATAGACCTTTTAAAATTTATTCTGTTGGGTAAAAAGGCAAGATTTTGACATTGTCTGGTATATACCCGAACATAATTGTATTTAATATGGTGGTCCAATCCTATTTTAGTCTCACTCATTAATCTTCACCATGAAATACTAACTGAGCAACAAACATATTATCTAGAGTTTTGGCAGGACATATGCATGCTGTTCCGACTTAAACATTAAGGCAGCACTTACTCTCAAAGGTTTACAAGAGGGCCATGAAGAATTTTTCTAGGGTCACTCACCCTGCAAATTTACTCGCAAAATTTACTACAAAATGTTCTTGCCCTGCACTTTGACAGACAAATAAAATGTTATGCCCCAAAAGTCCACCTCACCATGCAATAAACTATGGTGGACTTTTGGGGCATGGTTTGGTTCTTGGCAAGGGGGACTTTTGGGTCATAGCACTAATGGTATGATGATGTGGACTTTTGGACCATGGTTCGGTTCATGGTATGATGCGTAATAATGTCTGTATCTCAGCATCAGATGTAAAGTCAAAACATGAAATATATTTCAGATTTTAGAGTGATTGCTTCAGAAGAAAAGTACTTGAATGCATGATTGTGCATATTTCTGAAATGTACTGTTTTTACACTGAGTAAACCAAAAAGTAACTTCATGAACTTAGAAGTACATCATTAACAGCGTTCATCCTGCCTTCTTTTCTGCACATGTATACCCCGATACATAAATATAAATTCTTACATTTGTGTAAACAATAGTATAACTCTGAAGGCATACTGTTTAAAACTGCATGCCTCCAGATGAGCCAAAATATTTCAAGAAAATCAAGCTTCAGAAAAATGTAGATCTATTAAGATCTTATAAGGTCAAGAATCAACATGCATATTATGTGTCATTCAAGACTAATTTTTCAGCATTTATCTCAATATAGTACTAAGTGACTAACGCTGGCCATTTTTCACTATTTTGGCATGTTCTTGGTAATTTACATGAATTATTTCATGCTTTTTGCAATGTCTTAATTACTTTCTTTGTTCACTACACAATTTTTTACTTTTAAAATCATTTTAAAATTTTCATAAAGATTAGCATTAAACTGGAGGCATACTGCTTTAAAATAAACATAAAAGTACTGACCTGGTTTACAAAACATCCATCCTTGCTCTCCGAAGAAGTCCCTAAGAGCAGATTCCTGCTCCAAGGTTACATACAACATCATCAAGTATGAGCTTGAATCCATATCGTCATAGGCTTTTACTTTCCCTTTTTATCTAATAATACAATTCCTGAAAAGCAAAAAAAAGAAAGAAAACTAGAATTTAATTACAGAGTATTTTGAAGCAATCATAATATACTTAATATAAAGCTGATAAATAAAATCTAAATTGATCAATAAAATTTGAATCAAAAGCCTCACTTTTTCTTATTTCTAAACTCAAACACATGGGAAATGTTGTGATATTCAATATATGTATAGATCTAGCACAATTTATGGCAGAATATAAAGTTCTACATATCAGAATATTTTAACATGCCTGACTTCCGAACAAGTATAAATCAAATCTACCTACAAAGTTTCATTTTGATATCTAGACTCTTATGGTTTTAACATTATGTCCGGAACTAAGTTCAAAGTGTTAATTAATATGAACAAAGGGCAATAACTGCAAAACTAGACAAGACAGAGTTATGGTTCTTTTGCACTGCACTTCTAGACTCAGTGGACATGTCCTCGATCAATTTTATTGTAAAATTACAACCAACAAATTAAACTTGCCTCTTATGAGTAATATTTTCCGTTGAAAAATATCACCAGACACTCTTCTTGTACTCAATGAGATCTATCTACCTACAGAGTTTTATGTTAATATCTCTTATAGTTTAACAGTTATATTTCAGACAAAGTTCAAAGTGTAAAAATAAACAAAGGCAATAACTCAAAAATTAGGCAAGACAGAGTTATGGTTCCTTTGCAATGCCTTTCTTCTAAAATTTTTAATGAGATATAACTTCCTACAAAGTTTCATGTTGACACCTCTTGTTGTTTCAAAGTTATGTCCCAGAAAAGTATAGCAGACGGACAAGGCAGTGACCTTTCGTGGAGCATAAAAATAATGAAAAAGGAACTTTTTATTGTTAGAAGATGATTTACTTTAAATATCATGAAAACTTGATTTACATTTTATTTCATAAATATTTTATATAAATGTGAGATAATCCCAAACAAATATCTCTCCAGTCAGTAATAAATATAGAAATCTAAGCCAAAAGTACTAGCTGCTGACCCCATACTCATGCCTTATGGCCCTTGCAAGCCCACTGACATTTTGATGGCAGACCCTGTCCAACAGCTTGATCTGCAAATTAAAACTGTCAAGAAGAATACTTTCGAGAGGGTTGACAATAATATGGGATTTTTTAATTCTTGTGGACATCCGACATTGTTTACAAAAAAAGTTAAATATTAAAGACAGTTTACAATGGCGAATCAAGCCGTAGGACATGGTCTGGCACCCAAGTGTCTACGTGCATATCCGTTTGGTCCGAAGAGGCTGTGGTCCGAGTTTTCTGAGGTCCGAAGTGTCCACTGATCCGTCCGAATTGTCCATAACAGAAGCACAAAACTGAATTAAGTACCAAGTTATCTTATTAATATGCATACATTGTTAAAATACTTACAATCAGTTCCTTTTTTGGTGATCTATAGATCTAGATTAATTATTGAAAATGACGCTCGCCAATGCCAGCTAATGAAAGGGCGTAGTAAAGAACGGAAAGTTCATTATATTGGTAAATACCGAACAGGTCCATGTCAAAACGGCCCCATGGTAAAACGAACCCTATAATTTGCTGTAAATCTATTTTTGAATGGTTTGTCTTCAAACTTGGATGCAACAACCGATAGGACCGTCACACTCAATGATCTTGACCTTGCAGGTCAAATTATTTAATTTTGCTTGATTTTCACAACAGTACAGTACAGTACAGTAGTGAAAATCAAGCAAAATTCAAGTATACTGTACTGTATAATTGGTTATAATTTTGAACACATCTAGATCTACAGTACCGTAAAAAATCTTACAAATTGATCAAACCCAATTTGACTTTGAGCTGTAAATTACCTTGACCTTGAATGTTAAATTATTGTAATTTTACAGTAATAATTGGCTATAACTTTGTAACTAATAAATGTATTGTCTTTATACTTAAGCAAAAAAATTCTATGGGATAAGATATCAAAGAAGATTCAATTGAACTTGACCTTAATTTGACCTTGATACTTCAGGTCAAACAAGTGAATTCCGCAGCAATAAATGGGCATAGGAACACCTTAACAAAACTGATATGTGAAGTAATTCAAATATGACCTTGACCTTTATACGACCTTGTCTGTCAAGGTCAAACATTGAATTTAGCTTAGATTGTCATAACTTTGTAATTTATTCACAGATTTGTATTTAGATAAAAGAATTCTATAATGAAAAACTCACATTGAATTTTTCTGGTATCACCTTGACATTAAATTTACCTTGACTGTAAAGGTCAATTTTTGAAATTTGCTTAGTCATTACTATGTTATTTTTTTTTTATGGATTCAACTTATACATCCATGACAGTCTCTTAATTAACATTCAAGATCAAATTATTGAAACTGGCTTCAATTCTCATTACTTTGTTAATTATTTAATTGTTTACTGATTTAATTGTACTTGGACAAAAGAACACATAATTATGATAAAACCAAGATGTTGAATTTTTCTGACATGACCCGACCTCTTTTATTGTGACAGGCTGTCAAGGTCAAATAATTGAAACTTGCTTAAATTCTCATGTACTTTGTTATTTATCTTCTGATTTGATTTATTCTTCAACAAAAGTACACAACTGATATGTTGAATTATTCTGATACATGACCTTGACCTTAAATTGACCTTTTAATGTCAAATTATTGAAATTTACTTAAATTCTCATAACTTTTAACATTAACTTTATTTATTGATTTGGTTCATTCCTTTACAAAATTGACAATGGTGATCAAGTCAATGTGACCTTTGAACACTGTGAAGGTCAAATATGAAATTGGAATTATAATTTGTTCAAGATAGTTATATGTTGTCTAGGGTATTCTTTACTTTCAATGTGTTTAATTGACCTTAGAATTAAGAAAATGTCAAGTGTCAATGCCTGGTGGTGGCTCGTTTCACAGACTGGTAAATGTTATAACTAAGTAAGGTGTTAATTTGACAGAACCTCTTTTCTTGGAATTATTTTAAAATAAAATTAATTTAAAATAAATAAATATAAAATGATATTAATGTTTAAAGTAAATTTCAATAATTTGACATCAAAAGGTCAATTTAAGGTCAAGGTCATGTATCTTGGAACCTGATGCTTCAATTAATAGAATATGATTATCCAGCGATGCCTTCCTTACTCCTTATACTTACAGAAAACGGTATTTACCCATGCTATTATCAATAGTTACTTTAAACAATCATGTAGGATTATCAGGTTAAACTTTTGATACAGTATATTAAAGAACAGTGTTTTAATAGCTGTAAACTAATATTTGTTATAGAGGCCAGTCTGTATTTTGAACTCTTTTCTACATAAAATTGCATGAATTTGAAATACAAATGTATTCACTGAAAACTGAATAATGTGTGGGATTAATTATCAATGTACAAACCTTTGAGGGTCATGGTGCCCTTTAATTCATATCAAAAGTTTTGTTTATTGAAACCCCGAAAGCGGACACTATAGATAGTAGATGCACCAGTCATGTTTACTTATGTATAATTTGTGCAACTGTTACATCAGTTTGCATACACACATATTAAGTCTATATCTGAATTTCTTGGAACTTGTCAACTCATCTCCATTTCATATCAGTATTTGTTCAACAAGGTGGTCTTATTACCGATATACAAGAGTGTGAAAACTATTATCACCAAGGTTTTTTTGCGTTCTGATTTAGCGGTACCTTTTTTTGTCTAAATGTCAAATGAAAGAAAGGTGAAAGAAAGATAGAATTGAAAGAGATAAATTATGTTTAAAATTATATTATAAATGTTGTCAATAATATTTTAGTAACATTGTTTTTAAGCCGCCACTGTTTGGTCTTTAGAATTGTCCTTGTCCATCTGTTCTAAAATGTTGTGCCATGTGAAGCCCTACGAGTGCTTGAGCTAATGTTGATCACCATAATTATGAAGTTGTGCACCTGGGTTTTCTTTCGCCAGCTGCAATGCTGATGCCTCAAACCATAAAGGCAACCCCTCCGTCACAAGAGGCTTGTCAATCTAAGTAATGATTAAGAGTGTATTTATTTTATATGAGTATATGACTGTAGCAAGTGTCTATATAGAAATGGATAAGTATGGGCATCTGTGTGATATGGATACATTTATAGTTATCCATAAAGATTATAAATACACTGAATATAACCAGGTAGAATCTATATATACAACATAATGATAGAGAGGAGCTAGAAACAGAAAGTCATAAATATATTATTATTACATGTATTATTTATATGTATTTTATGTCACATATAAAGTTTTACTTAACAAACTGGAATGGCATACATTGTCTTAATTTAAGCATACAAGTAAAATTGATACTAACATTTTACAAGTACATCAAATTCATAAAATTTGCTTTGAAAGTGTTTATTGGTCATATGTTGGCACCACTCTTAGATTATATCCAATTATATACAACATGAACACTGAACTGTAAAATTTTTAAAGCAGCCTTCAGCTTTTATTTTTTGTTGGAAAAAACAATTATGTGTTGTTTCAAACTAAGTATTTCAGTAATTATATCTTGGAAAAGTGCTTCATATCACAATTAAGCCATCTTCAACACCAAACTCCGCGCACCGGTTACGCTGTGACCGCCAGTAACCACTGAATGTCAGACAAAATCCCCTTCGGACAAAATCCCCTTCGCCTACCCGGACAAAATCCCCATTCATTGGTGGACATAATCCCCTTCATGTTTTTGCAAGGCTGGACAAAATCCCCTTCACTACCCGGACAAAATCCCCTTGTTTCATAGGTTTCTAATGTATTATTATGCTCCATAAAAATTGATGACTAATGTATAATTATACTCCCTAAAAATTGATGAATAATGAACTTTTGTTTTTTTATTTAAAATTATGTATCAATAGTTATTTAGTTTAGAAGTTTTCATTAAAATTATGGTAAATTATCAACTGCATAACACATATTTTATTAGGCAATTTCTTTAATTATTTTAAATTGATTAGTATGAAAAACATTTTTATTAGCCAATAATTGTTTCATTGATTGTATAAGTTGATAATTCTAATTGATATACATGTATACTATCCATTGTTACCATTTCTGTTGATGAAAAAGTGATAATTTAATCAAACCAAGATCACTGCACTACTTAATTGATTGTTATGAATGCTTTAACAAAGCAATTTTAAGCAATTTTAATGTGATTAAAATGTGCTAATTGAATGTGCTTTTCTGCTGAAATATTTTCTACTTATTTATACATTAAGCTCCCATACCCACTTTATAAACCGAAAATTCCTCCGAGAGGGATTTTGTCCTAGGTAGCAATTTTATGAAGGGGATTTTGTCCACTTCAAAATTTCACACATGAAGGGGATTATGTCCACCCATGGAGGGGATTATGTCCAGATATGCAAAAATACATGAAGGGGATTTTGTCCGAAGGGGATTATGTCCGTACACCGTAACGACTACCTTCACAAAAATCATGTGATGATGGTATTATCACATGATTGTGTAAAAATGGCATATACGCCAATGAAATCGTTGAAAAAATGTTTTATCTGTAATAAACAGCGACATTAAAACTTGAAATCTGGTCTCAAAATTATGTTGATATGATTGAAAAAAATTGATTTTTGCAAAGCGTAGAGTCGAAATTAATAATAACTTGAATGATTTCTTTTTCGAGAGAGGTCATTGTTTTGGAAATAAACGGTGCGGTATTAAAATTTTTAAAAATTATTTTCATAATATTTATGTTTCCAAAATTATTATGTAAGGGGAGATCAGTGGGTAGGAGATTGCTTCAACACACCGTTTGAGAGATATTCATAATGTGACAGTGATGTTCATTTTAAAAGTAGAGGAGGAACAAATCATCTACTTTACTAATTTACATAATATTATTATAGAATGCTGACCGGTAGATTAGTGGTATCAAGGGGTAGTCTTATTGTTAATGTATTTCAACGACAGTCAATTTCATTTGCCACTTTAATTCTTTTTCATGTGACAATTACATGAAATGATTAATCTAGAAATAACATTAGAAAAGCTGTAGGCTGCTTTAAGCTATTATCAATAACTATACATCTTTTAAAGAAATAAACATAAAATAGAAACAAGAGGGCCATGATGGCCCTGAGGTCGCTCACCTGTATATAGCCCCCCCCCACACACACACCCATAAGAAGATGTTTCATGCTAAACATCTAAGCTCTAGCTCATTGGGCTTTTTAAAAGAACATTTTTACTATACACATATAGTTAAAAACAATGACACCCCTGGGGCAGGGCCAGTTTTGACCCCAGGGCTTTTATTTGAACAAACGTTGTAGACACTTACTAGAAGATGTTTCATGCTTAAGATCTAAACTCTAGCTATTTGGGTTTTTTTTAAAAGAAGATTTTAAGTTTTTGCTATACACATATAAGGAAAATCAAAGACCTTGGGGCGGGGCCAATTTTGACCCCAGGGCTTTTATTTGAACAAACTTGGTAGACACCTATTAGAACATGTTTCATGCTAAATATCTTAGCTCTAGCTCTTTGAGTTCTTTAAAAGAAGATTTTTTAAGTTTTTACTATATGCACATAGGGAAAATCAATGACCCCCTGGGGCGGGGCCAATTTTGACCCCAGGGCTTTTATTTGAACAAACTTGGTAGGCACGCATTATAACATGTTTCATGCTAAATATCTTAGCTCTAGCTCTTTGGGTTCTTTAAAAGAAGATTTTTTAAGTTTTTACTATATGCATATAGGGAAAATCAATGACCCCCTGGGGTGGGGCCAATTTTGACCCCAGGGCTTTTATTTGAACAAACTTGGTAGACACTCACTAGAAGATATTTCATGCCAAATATCTAAGCTCTAGCTCTTAGGGTTTTTTAAAAGAAGATATTTAAAGTTTTTTCTTTCGGTTGCCATGGCAACCAGAGTTCTGCATGGAATTAAATTCTTTGAACAATTTTTAAAGGTGACCACCAAAGGAACATTCCTGTGAAGTTTGGATGAAATTGGCCTAGTGGTTTATGAGGAGATGTCATTTAAAGTAAAAGTTTACGAAGGACAACGGACGGACAGACGCCGGACGGACGCCGGACGAAAAGCGATCACAAAAGCTCACCCTGTCACTTTGTGACAGGTGAGCTAACTAGAGCTGTCCGTAAGACAGCGCGCTCGACTTTTTTATTGCTTGCCAATAAAAAAAGTTTTTGCAGTAAAAGGCAATACAAGAATCTCTGTATTTTTAAAGTGAAGTAGTTGTTTGATACCCTTGAATATTACAGCAATGTTTATATGACATAATTTATGGTAAAGTGAACAAGTGGATAGGAATGAATTTTTTTAGATTTTTTAAGTTTTTTAGTGCTTGCCTATAATACAAAACATTGACAGTTAAGGGCCATAATTCAAATAAAATCTTTGACAGAATTACCTTCTCCTGGACATGTTTGGGAATCATGATTGTAAACAAGTATTCCAACTTTCAAATTAATATCTCAAACAGTTCAGTCAAAAAGTGGACTGGTACTAAAAACTTAACCAAGATTCTAAGTCGATAAAAGGCCTTAATTTTTAAAACAAATCCTTGACAGAGTTACCTTCTCTTGCGTACAGATGGGGGTAATGATGTGAAATAGCATTAAAAAGTTTCAAAGCAATATCTCAAAGGGTTAAGGCAATAAGTGGATTTTACCCATATTCAATGTATTTTCTAAGTCAAAAAGGGGCATAATTCTGTCAAAAACCTTGACAGAGTTATGTCCTCTTGTCTGTTGATGAAGGTCGTGATGGTAAACAAGTATGGTCAGTTTCAAAGCAATACCTCCAATGGTTTTGAAATAAAGTGAGGTGGTACAAAAAACTTAACCAAGCTCAATACACTTTCTAAGTCAAAAAAGGGCCATAATTCTGTCAAAAACCTTGACAGAGTTATGTACTCTTGTCTGTAGATGGAGGTTATGATGGTGAACAAGTATGGTAAGTTTCAAAGCCATACTTGTAATACTTCTGAAATAAAGTGGGGTGGTACGAAAAACTTAACCAAGGTGTGACGCCAACGCCGACGCCGACGCCGGGGCGAGTAGGATAGCTCCCCTTTTCATAGAAAAGTCGAGCTAAAAATCAATCTTTAAATGATTTTTCGAGTAATCTTTGGGTAGCCTTGAGGATCTCGAGAAAATTGGACTGACCTGAAAGTGAATCTTTCATTTGACTGTGAATATGGTAAAAGTGAATAAAAAGTTAATTAATAAATGTGTTTATTTAATCATAATCCTGTACCAAAACTTTATTGTTTAAACATTTTGGTTTTATTTTAACACAACAATGTGACATAATTAGAATAAAATCGCATAATTTTGTATTGCTATTATTGTAAATTTAGCAATCATTGTAAATGCATGCTTATGTAGGAATCTGTGATGTTTCATACATATGATCCAAAACGGGACTTTAAGAAAACCGGACTGCTGTGAAAACTGGTCAAAAGCTGCAATCCAGGCACTGTCTGACTGATGTATATTGCAATTATTGGGAAGTAAATTTAATGTTTTTTTGTTTTGTTTTTTTAATCATGTTTTGGGAAGACATGTTTTTTGGGTTTTTTTAACAATCATGGTAACTTTGATCTTGACTTTTACACTTGACACAAAAATTACTGAAAGATCTGCTAAATATGGGCAATAATCCAATAAAATTTCAATACAATATTTAAAAGGGTATTAAAAATTAAAATAAACAACTCAACTTACGGTCAAACACAATAAAATAAATTTGTATAAAACACAAACACTTGCATGAAAATATTTCATATAATCTTGTAAAAATAAAATCTGTTTCCCTGGCTGACATCAATGTACAAAGTCATAATTACACCCTTAGTATAAAAGCATATACCATAGAAAAAAACACTACCTGTTATTTATGAAAATTCCTCATTAACATTTGTAATAACAACATTAAAAGAAGTACATGTATGGTTTGCAACTGCCTTTTTGTCCGAGAATGTCAAGCCACAAGCAACACATGCATACGTAAATCCATGCTTTATCTTCAAGTGTTTTTGTAAATATTTCCGAGTAGTAAACATTGCTCCGCAGTCGCCACATTCGTGTTTCGCGGTAAAAGGCTCTCCTGAACAGTACTGCTTGTGATCATCGATATTCTTGCACATGCGCCCACATCCGTCACACTTTGTGAACTTGAAGCCTTCCACATGCTTCTGTTCATGTTGAATCCTTTTCTTTTTACATGAAAGGACTTTCCCACACACCTTACATTTTAGGTCCTCCATCGGCTCTGCACTGTGTTTATACGAATAATGAATCTCCAGATCGGACTTGCTTGGATACGTTTTCCCGCAAACGTCACAAATGTGTCCTGGTGGACGTTTACCCTCGTGTGTATACTGTATGTGTTTCCTCATTTCAGTCATACGGTAGAATCCTTTACTACATATAGGACATGAAAACTTTTTATCACCATGTCTCAGCATATGTTTACCTAAATTTTTCTTACATCCGAATGTCTTCAAACATATATTGCATACAACAGGTGTCGGAGTCTTTTTATCTTCCTTCTGAAAATTAAACAAAGATATTTCAGATTAAGTTTGCTTTTTTAAAAATTTGTTTGTTTAGTTTTACAGTGCACAATTTTGACACAGGGTGCAGAAAACAGGAAAGATGATTTCGGGTCACCTCAGGGTGTTACTAACATAAAGCAACACCATAAGGCAAAACCATCTTACCTGCTAGAGCTTACAGATGCACTGACTCCTGTAATTTGAACCAATTCAGCTACCTTATTATATGATCATGCAGGAATAAACAGAAGCTCCAATTCTGATGTCACAACCCATTTAAAGGCAACCCATTTTTTTTATTAATTTGAATATATGTAATTAGGTGTAAAAAACTGTAATATTTGCCAAAATGCAAAAGAAGCAAAAGATGGTTCAGGTAATTAGCAAATGGGAAATAAAGAGCTGATGAGAAAAAAAGCATTTCAGGGGACAGCATAATGGGCCTTTAACAAAGGGGGGAAATTCTGGGTAAAATCAGTAAATGAGTCTTGGCCAGTGATGTAAAATTATGACAAATAAGCACTTAACAGTAATTCAAAAATATACTTTACTCTGCTATTTCAATAAGAACTGTAGCTTCTGTTGCAATCTGAATCAGGTTAGAATGCATGTACACAATGGATGATGAAGATAACATAATTAGATGATAATTATTACTGAGAATTCAAACATATGTAACCACCATGTGTAAAAGTTGCTGTAATCATAAACAAAACTTACAGTCTTTGTAGCAGTGTCATCTGCAGTATCGCCATTAACAACAGGATTATCAGTGGGCAACTGAGCTTCTCCCTTTCCACTTGTAATTCCTACACTCTCAGCTGTTTCTACCTCATTATCATAATCCATGTCATCTTCATCTCTAAAATCATCATCACCATCACCATCAGTGTCCTCGTTCAATGTATCAAAATCTCTACTATCACCATCTGTTTCAATCTTAATGTCATCCTCAGCTTCAGTACCTCTAGTTCGTTTAGCAGGAGTTTTCGGCTTCCTCAGGGAATAACCTTTTCGTTTTCCTTCCACTGGCATTGAAGTTTTTTTTCTAACACTCTTTGGTAGAAAAGCATTCATTTTAATCATAGGAAATGATGGTTTAATGTCTTCGTCTTCGTATGCGTCTGGAAAATGTGGTTCTTCATCAGGGTCTTTTTTACAAGGAACACAAGGTCCTAGCTCGTCTGTGGTTACTGACAAATCTGTTGGATAAAGAAAATAATGTACCAATATAAGTGCAACTGTGCAACTTCTGATTAATGTTATTGGACTTTGGACCTGCTTAAGATAATTCAACATCAAAATTTCTAACCTAAGTAGTCAAAAGAATACCTTAAAGTTATGACCATTGCACATGCAGGCATTCTGAACAATCATACAAGCCTTATAATGATAAAAAGACACACCGTGGGCTAGTAGTTTTTTTCTGATTGAGTATATATAAAATCAAGGGACTGCTGGAGCAGACAAACTCGGACCATAGGATATTGATTTAAACAAACTTTATGTTTTTTATTTGTTTGTTGTTTCTTTTGTTGCACCAACAAAATAGAGCTAATATGGCAACATTTCAACTTTTCTGTTGAAAAAATACCCAAGGTGCCCCTTTGTGCATTTTTCAGGCACAAGTCACAAAGTGGGGCACCTAAGTAGAACCAGAATGAATGTTCTGTAATCCAGCTCGATAGCTTCCTCACATGAAAGAATGCAAGGTCATTGGAAGGACTTGAACCGACAGCTTTTAGGGTAAGTGGTTTGAAGTCAATGACCATAACCACTCAGTTTTGGATGACACAACTTGCTATTGGTCTACTATACAATGCAACACACCAAATATCCAAGCTTTAGGCAAAGTGATTTGGGAGAAGATTTTTCAAAAATTGCCTTTGTGACTGTCTATTCAAGTGACCTCTTAAGAGTAGCTGCATTGCCAAGTGGTTAACTCTTTGGACTAGTTAGCTAAGTATTGCTTGACTCAGTAACTCCTTGGGTGGGGCCAATTTTGTCCCCATAACTTGAGGAAAAAAAATTTATAAATATCTAAGCTCTAGGCCTTGAATGTATAATGAAGAGATTTTTTTACCCCTGGGTTATAATTTGTATAAACTTGACAAGAGGGCCATGATGGCCCTGAAATCGCTCACCTGAAAATAGAAACTCTCCATGACATGGAACAAGTAATATAAACAAAAGCAGATATAAAAATCTTAATCTTAAAGTGACATTATGCCCATCCAAGGGTATATAGTGAGTGAACAGGTGAAGATCAAAATAAGTGTTCATTTTGCAATAATTCCTTTTAATTTAATAATTATGTTCAAATAAACAATAAATAACGTACAGATCCAAACGAAATTTCTATAACCCTTACTTTATGAATAGAGTGGGGCAGTCTTTTTATATTTTAGGCAGATTTATAATTTTATCCTAAACATTTTCCAATATCAACTGTTGGTAAAACACCATTTTGACAATCAATCTTTTGAAATATAAAGTCAATTCAGCTCAACTTGACTATGAAAGTATGAGCATAATGTCACTGTAAACTGATATCACAAAGTTCATATTTGTATCTGAAATAGTGCATGTGTAAAAACATTCACTTATTGCTAAGGGAAAACAACAGTTCCAAAAGATGTGTACCAGGGATTTTTTGGGACAAATTTTTTAGCCGATATTGGGTCATATTCTCGATTGAAAATAGTATATTTTTTCCCAATCCACAGGAAAAATTCCCAATTGAAAGTTACAAAATAAAAATATTGAATTCCAAATTCTAAAATCTTAGAAAAATTTATTAATAAGGGCTTCTTCACTGTTATGGTGCTTAAATGTTTGAAGATGCCATCTTAGACAGTTTAATTCTTTGCATTTATTCAATCGCTGCAAAATTTTAGTCATGCATTTTCCCCAATTTTTAACAAAACATCGCTGAAATTCCCAATTCCATGGGTATGGGTCATGTTCCCAAAATCCTGGAAAAAAAAACTGTGTACATATTTATAAGGAAAATTATTGACCGCCCAAGACAGGACCAATTTTGACCCAAGGGCTTTTATTTGAACAAACTTTGTAGACAACCACTAGAAGATGTTTCATGCCAAATATCTAAGCTCTAGCTCTGTGGGTTTTTTAAAAGAAGATTTTTAAAGTTTTTTCTTTCAGTTGGCCGAGTTCTGCATGTACGGTAATTAAATTATTTGAACAATTTTTAAAGGTGACCACCAAAGGAACATTCCTGTGAAGTTAAGGTGAAAGTGGCATAGCGGTAATGGTTTATGAGGAAATTTCGTTTAAAGTAAAAGTTTACAAATGGACAGACCACAGACAGACAACGGAGGAATTGTAATCACTTTGTCACAGGTGAGCAAAAAACAGATGGTGTATCACCATATTTAGGTCTAAGTAATAGAAAGAGGCTATTTGATTTGTACGAGGGGGCATAGCCCCCGAGTATTTATCAGATTGCCAAGTGTTTTGATGTTCTTTCTCTTTTGTATCATAGTAAAACATAAAATCACGCTCCCTGTTGTCACAATATGAAACCCCCCCAAAAAAAAAGGAACCAATGAACGAGCATCTGAAAATGACATTTCTATCACTTTTCCTTTCTCTTCCGTCACAATAAGTAAATACCAGCAATTATTAGCCAATCAATGAGCATGCTCTGGAGTGCGGGTAACTAATACCTGCACTCCAGTTAACGCACTGTGCATGTATATGTATACGATTTAAATCTGACACATTTTCAACATAAAAGTCCCCAAACTATGATAAAATGATATATATTATGATTATACAAAAGTTAAAATACTGACCTGGTTTACAAAACCGCCATCCATTATCCACAAAGAAGTCCTTAAGAGCTGACTCCTGCTCTAAGGTTACATACAACATCATCAAGTAAGAGCTGGACTCCATACTGTTGGGTGATGTTGCTTTCTCTCTTCACCTAATTAAAACAGTATGTACATGTATGGTTACAGGTATGAAATTGAAAAAGATACATGTAGCATTACTTTGCCAAATTAATAAAAGACAACAAAAATTTCTAGAATGAATAACACAGTTTGATTGCTATTTTGATACTAGAATTCAATTCAATGGATTATTGAAAAGCTTTATTGGGTTTGTTTGAGAATTTCAATAAAGCGGTGGAGTATGTCACCGTTTAGAACTGTTCACTTTTTAGGGGAGAAGATGTGTAAGTGGCCGGATAGCTCAGTCGGTAGAGCCGCGGTACGGTATTCCAAGGGTAGACAGACGTTTCACTATTGAGACGGTTCACACCAAGACGATTTTGGAGTGAAACATCTTGAAGACGTTTCACAGTTTCACTCCCTTTTTATACCAAAATTATTTTGATACTTATAATACACTTAAATAGACCTAAAATATTGAATTGAATTGAACTAAAATAGACCTTTTAATAATTTAATAGAAATAAATTAAAAAGGGGGATTACACTTTTTTGTCAATGACTTAAAAGTACTTTAAGTTCTTACTTCTATCATTTCAGTTATCTTATCTTCTTTATTGTTGTTTTGAAATAAGATGTTTTTTCTAATCTTTGATCCATATGTGCAATTATCACATTTCACTTAAAGAAAAAATATTTTTGATTAAAATAACACTTTAATATAATTAACTATTTGATCTTTTGTAAACATTGACTGAACAGGCAATTTTAATTTAAAGCATAACAATCTTGTGACAACAACATGTTGTTTTTTTTGTTGTTAAAACATGGGATAAAAAAATGTAAAATTATTGCTAGTATAGTGCTTTTGCGATATATGTCAAAAAATTTAATGGCCATTGAAATCAAAAATATCTTTAGAAGCATTGGGACTTTTTCAATATTTGTCATGTATAATCATTTTTTGTGACTAAAATTCATTATCATATAAACAAAAACTTATGGAGAAATTTCTGTGTTTAAATTGGCCGTTGTCAAAAAATATTTTAATGGTCCAATAAACAACTGATTAGTAAACTGTTGATGATCAAGTGCAGTGTTTAAACTGTTTATACAACTGATTTAATAGTGGTGTGACTGTCAAACTGTTAGTTAATTGTCTCAGTGTTTATACAACTAATTAGGCGATGAGATAACACCACAATTACTGAAGTTTGTTTAATGGCTACTGTTTTATAAATTGATGAAGAAAATAATTTTAAAAAATAATTTATTTTATACACAACACATATTTCGCATTTCATTGTTAAAGACTTACAAAAAATAATCATTATAATTATAGTCAATGTATTTAACATATTGATATTTTTTATTATTTGAATAATAAATCTCAATTAAAAGAAAAATAGAATAGATTGGAACGAATCGCGAATGGCGCGAATCGCTTTCAGTTAAACAGTTAAAGGAGCCATTTGACTAGGAGTAGTTTTGACTCGAGCCCCATCCGAAAAGCACACTTACCACACTATCAAATACACAATCTGAAAAACCTTTTTCTAAATAATCATAACCTAATAGGTTACCACAACGAAACTGGAAAAATTTTAACGGGGGGATGAAACTTTCTTGATTATCTGCAAAACGCGAAAAGTTGTACTTTGTGCATTAATACCCGAAATGATAGAAATTAGGAACCACATATTTGCGGGTTCCTGATATATATGGATATATATCCAAACCGCAAACATTTGTCAGGTATTTTTCTTGCATATTCTGCCATATTATGGTTTATATCAATAAAATATTTGTTCATGGAAATAATGTATTTCACCCATAACTATTTTCTTAAAATAGCATATGAATTTACAATTTTAGTAACAACGGCGGAATGACGTCATCCTAAGCACATAATTATATAGTTACCTTCTAACATGACGTCATTTTGACGCGGTAAATTCATAAAATGACGTTGTTTTTTATCACTGTTTTACCCGAGTGGATTGAGTAGTTTGGGTAGCCTAGTATCTCTTGTTTTAAATAATCCAAACACATGGCCATAACGTATCATAAATGAACGTAGCCATTATTGTACAAGAAGAGAAGCCAAAAACAAATGGAGTAAGATTAAAACTGCAATTTCACTAGCTGTTGTCTCTTTTAATTTTTACTAAGTCGGGTAGGGTGACAATTTTGTCAGGGAGTTTATTCCATGGGTCCCGGAAAGTACAAGTTCTTAAGCTACTTTAAAAACATACTGGTTGGATAGATAACTCTGGCGCATAGATAGCCCGGTACTTGATATATATTATTGTTTTAACATTAGTTTTTCAACAAACAGGCATGCACATAATCACTTACTTACATTTTGTATAAAAAGCAGGACAGAATGTGGAGATTCCTTTTCAATTTTGATTACCTTAATTATAAAGTACCAGTTTCTATATTTCATAAATTTTTGTATATATAAAGTTTAAATAAGTGTGGTACAACCTCAGTTAAAGACGGAACCGCTACTAAGTCAACAACTGCGACAAGCTGCCGGTGTCCTGACTAATGCCGAGGGGAGTAGCCCTACAAAGTAGGCGCTTGGGTCGACGAGGACGGTGTGCTAGGGTGCGTGAGCCCCTAGCACGGTAAGACGGCTTGAACGGCAGGCCTTTTCCTGGCACAAAGAGCCCTTTTCAGGGCTAACCTTTCCTATTGTCACAGGTTACTTTACATTTAGGTTCTCATTGACCGAGTAATACTTTACCGCCGTACAATGACATACTTTTGGCTCAAAATTCATATCTTTGGCTATTACTCCGTGGAAATTGCATGGAGGTAAATTACAAAATGTATCACAACTTTGTGCTTCAAAATTAACTCTTTAAGGACATGCTGGTGACATGCCCGGGGTCCGTACTCGACAGCGAAAGCTGCATTTTGTGCTCGAAAGGTTGGATGGACCCTCATTAAGCTTTTACTTCAATCAATCAAAAGGTAACAACCTTAATTTCAACATACAGGATCTTAAAAGGTATTTAGGATTAGTGACCAGTTCTGGGACTTAGTCATGGAACATATGTATTAGTGTTTAATTATAGTTTTGTTTTGATGACTTGGCACTTTCAAGAATTAACACCATACCCCACGTAAAGCTTCTCCCACAGAACCATATTGTATTGTTTATGTTGGAGTATTGGTCTGCGGAGGAACTATGGTAAGGTACAATGCAGTGTCATCTGCAAATTATCTGACTTGAAATTAAAGGACAGTATAGTTGTCAGGTAGATTGTTTTTTTATCTAGAGAAGGGCACAAAGGGTCCTAGTACTGATCAATAGGGCAAAGAAGGCCTACTTATATGCAAAATTACAATACATAAAATAATATATGTTTAAAAAGTTTTTATACTGAAATGGTCTTTCGATTTACAAAAAATACAAGAAATTCCAGCATGATATGTAAATTATACAGCGGGCATTGAAGAAGCAAATTTTCGTCTTCAATATTATGTTTCTATAATATGTCTATAGTTTATGATTCTTAAATTAACATCAGATAAAAAATAACTTGTCTACTGTACTGTAAATTAGGAGTTAAAAATATTGATTAGTTTATGGTCTCAACCCGGTACGGAATTAGACCCAGCCCATTGTAGTCTAGAAAGTAGTTCTTTTAAATTTTGAAATGGCCTATTTCAAGTCATCTTAATTGATACTGGTTATATTTTAAGTATATCTTTAGTAATTGTGTACATAAAGTTTCATTTCTGAGTACTTTAAAGGTTGTTTTTGATGTATTTTTGCAGGATTTCATTTCTGGGTGGAAGGTTTCAGCAGGCACTATGCACAAGAATACACACCAGTTACTATTTGGAATAATCTATAGTGATTACAGAAATTAAAAGCTGCAGAAAAACTCCAAGGGCTAATGTATTATTTTTTTGTGCTGAATTTACTAGGACTGCATTGTTGTTTAAAGAAATGGTCATGAAGTTTCGGTACCGGATTTGCTTTGTGCAGAATTTAGCCTTAAATGTAATGGATTTACTATAGGATATATGGGTCGAAAATTCAGTGGGCCGTCTCCTTATGGACCATCACATTTTGCAAACTTAAATGCTTTTCGTCCTTTAGTAAAATTTGGGTTCAATTAAATGAGTTCAGCAAAGGGGAATAAGTTGGTCCGAATAAAAGCTAAAGTTGATGATAAAATAATTTTTTATATAATGTCACAACAAATCAGAGCACAATTTATTAAACCAATAACGGAGTAAGGTAAAGAATTGTATTCTTGTACACTGTAGATGTTTGAACATGTAAATTATTATTAGAATTTTGAAGTTGTTTCAAAAACATGCCAAACTTCAATGAGATTCGCGCTACAACTGGTTCGTACCTCGATTTTTGGCGGCATCAGTTGCCTTTTCGTAATGCCCTGTCAATTAATTATGTAGCAATTTTTGTGTATTTGCGTTTATTTATACTCGCCACATGTTTTTCACATGGGCGAGTCCTCCAGGAGAGTATAATTTACTCATTTTAGATTGTTGGAGGATAGTGCAATTAGCAGAACCCCGGTGTATCGATCTATTAACCCATAAATCACAACAGCAGTTAAAAACATTAAATTTCCCTGAATCTTTATTTTGTATCATTTATTTTGATTCTTTTGTCATAAATATTACATGGCAAACATCACTGATTTATAGTTTTTAGCTTTGGAATAGTCGATTATTTACAGATATGTCAAACAGGTTGAAGAATTAGGTCACGCCATTATATCGATGCATTGTGAGAATCGCTCACTTAATCAAAGTTTTGGAAGTCTGACCCATCTTTATGCTAGATTTTTCAGTCAATTAGAATCAAAGATGTCTGTTTTAAAATGTCAGCATAAATTTAGGAACTTTCAACACACAGTAAATGTGTTTTTAATAAGAATACACTATTTATAAGTCCATTTATTATCTACAAAGTCTGACGGTACTGGAAACCTGATTTTGACCATTTTTACGGCACAAAACAAATGCGAAAGATTTTCGTGACACTTTTGTAAATGTTAGCAATCAGTAGCTACTGCATTTTGCAAAGAAATCGAAAGATTTGTAAATAGATCGATACAATGAATAGCACGATACAATGGGGTTCCACTATACAGATGGTAGCAAGACACTTAACCCCCCAGACACTTCACCCCTCAAATTTTGAAGACACTTCATCCTCAAGACACATCACCCCTCAAAATCAGTAAGACACTTCACCCCTCATCCAATTCCAGAAGCTTCTCCTGGTTCTTTACCATGCCAAGTGTTTAAGCACCCATGCATGGGACCTAGATTTAAAGTCTCATCGGAAAGACTGATTAGTAATTTTACTTTTTAGTTGGCTAGCCCAGGAATCAAACCCACAATTACAAGTCTCGTGCCCTAACCAATTGAGCTATGCAGGTGTAGCTAAGTGCCTTTACCTGGTTTTTAACCAGGTTTTCAATTTTGAAAATCCTGGTTATTAGATTGGGGTATGGCGGGCGGATGGGCGGGCGGGCGTCAAACGAAATTGTGTCCGCTCTGTAACTCTTCAACCCTTTGAAGAATTTTGATGAAACTTCAGACAAATGTTTACCACATCAAGATGACGTGCAGAACGCATGTTCCGCATGGCTGGCTCCAAGGTCAAGGTCACAGTGACATTAACATTGAAAATCCTGTCCGCTCTGTAACTCTTCAACCCTTTGAAGAATTTTGATGAAACTTCAGGCAAATGTTTACCACATCAAGATGACGTGCAGAACGCATGTTCCGCATGGCTGGCTCCAAGGTCAAGGTCACAGTGACATTAACATTGAAAATCCTGTCCGCTCTGTAACTCTTCAACCCTTTGAAGAATTTTGATGAAACTTCAGACAAATGTTTACCACATCAAGATGACGTGCAGAACGCATGTTCCGCATGGCTGGCTCCAAGGTCAAGGTCACAGTGACATTAACATTGAAAATCCTGTCCGCTCTGTAACTCTTCAACCCTTTGAAGAATTTTGATGAAACTTCAGACAAATGTTTACCACATCAAGATGACGTGCAGAACGCATGTTCCGCATGGCTGGCTCCAAGGTCAAGGTCACAGTGACATTAACATTGAAAATCCTGTCCGCTCTGTAACTCTTCAACCCTTTGAAGAATTTTGATGAAACTTCAGACAAATGTTTACCACATCAAGATGACGTGCAGAACGCATGTTCCGCATGGCTGGCTCCAAGGTCAAGGTCACAGTGACATTAACATTGAAAATCCTGTTTACATGATTTTAACTTGATTTGGCAGTCAAAGGTCATATCATCTTTGGAGGTAATTTAAAAAAGATATGATATATTATTTCATGTCTACTTTGTAACTTGTTTTTCATTATACAGAATTATCAATATAATTATAGTGAACAAATTCTTCTGTGCTGAACTCGTCCTACATTTCTCAACGGATTTTGTTCAAACTTTCACAGAAGCTTTGTCATCAAGCACCCTGGCACATATTGTCGGGGTTTTGTGATTGGATAGTTTTTGACCTAATTATGGCCCTTTGTTTTTTTCCTTATACATAATATTATAGTGAACACTTCTTCAGTGGCAATTCCTGCTACATTATTCATGTTTTACATTGCACATAGTTACATTGTTTGTTGCTTGTATTTGTTTTTCAAATACAATATATTTATCTACAATGGTGATAATTGAAAACCTGGTTTCATGGCATTGCCATGTTTCTTGTTTTTTACTGTGGCAGTATGTGTAACAGTGTTTGTAACATACAAATTACAATGATGAATGAATATTTTCTTATGGGGTGTGTGGAGTGTATCAGGAAGAAAACAGCATGATGGTCTGATGATGTAGGGTTTTAGAAATTATATTTCAAATCTTTTCAATAACTTTTTGTGCCCCCACATTAGTGGCGGGCATTTAGATTTACCCTTGTCCGTCCGTCCGTTCTCTTTTATGTCGCACGTAACTCAAAAAGTATTTGACCTAGTGTCATGAAACTTTACAGGAATGTTGATCAGCATGTGAAGTTGTGCACCTGGGTAATTTCGTCTGGATATTTTTAGTATTTTTAGAGTTATTGCCCTTGACTTAGTAAAATTTTGCAATTTTCAACTTGTGTCGCATGTAACTCAAAAAGTATTTGACCTAGAGTCATGAAACTTTACAGGAATGTTGATCAGCATGTGTAGTTGTGCACCTGGGTATTTTCGTCTGGATTTATTTAGTATTTTTAGAGTTATTGCCCTTGACTTAGAAAATGTTTGCAATTTTCAACATGTGTCGCATGTAACTCAAAAAGGATTTGACATAGAGTCATTAAACCTTATGGGAAAGTTGCTCAGCATATTTAGTTTGTTCCTGGGGTTTTGCTTGTGTATATTTATCCAGTATTTGTAGACTTATTTCCCTTGACTTAGTAAAAACTGTTTCATTATGTTGTTATTTGTTCCTTGAGTGCTTGAGTTAGAATCGACCAACTTTACAGGAATAATGATCAACATCACTGACTAAATTACAGGAATAATGATTCACATCACTGTGAAGCTATGAACCTGGGACTTTGCATGTGGATTTTTTTCAGTTTTGTTAGAGTTATTGCCCTTGACTTACAGTAGTATAAATTTGCAATTTTCAACTTGGGGTTTGCTTGGGGATTTATTCAGTATTTGTAAAGTTCTTGCCCTTTACTTAGTAAAAAGATTTTTAGTTTTCAAAAAATATTTGACCTAGAGTCATAAGATTGACAGAACAGTGGCGCAGTGGGGGCACCCATGTCCTATGGACACATTTCTAGTTTATGGTACAGTGTTTTCCGTTTGGGACATATTACAATTTTCCTGAATAAGCTTTTTCTCTGTTCAAACTCTGACATCCCCACTCCATACTCAGAACTTATTTCAATGGGTCAGCATCTTCATTTGTTTCTACATTGATGCCACACTTATTTAAAGAAAGACAATGATTTTTACATTCAACCAAATTATTATAATGCTTGATATGGCCAGGGCTCGAGTTAGTGGGCGATTCGGGCGAAATAGTCGCCGAATTCCGTCTGACTTCGCCGATATCCTACATGAAAGCGAAGATAAAGTCGCCCGATTTTATTGATCCATTATTGTAAATTACCAACAATAACTGTGAATAACATGTGGTTAGTGTTTGCTTTGTTTACCCTCGCCGCCGGAAAAAGGGACTGTCATGCATCTCAATCAATGCGAAATGTCTTTAATCTGTTTGTTTACCAACATCTCATAAAAGTCTAATTAACAGACGCTCGAGGAACAATTAGACTCCGCCCACGGCGAGATTACCGATACGTGCGAGAAACCAATCGTAATTCACGTTTTAATCGAGGCGACATTATTTAACCAATCATTAAATCGCTAACATACAACTACCTGTATAACAATTATTTAGGATGACGGATCAAACGTCAATTAAATTTTCACTATCGAATGATTGTCAGAATTAAGCGGAACCGCTCGACATATAACTGTAACGGTAATTATAAATGAAAGTTATGATAACCTTTTTTGTCGACGAGTTAAATTTGATAATTTGATAAATATGTATGCCTTGCAGGCAATGTCAATGCCAGAACGTCCCAGCTCCCTGACTTCATACCATCGGACCCCTTTTTAAACGATATATTTGATATTGATCAGGAATCTCAAGCCTATTTCGATAAATTCACATTGCTAGAAAAATTTAATATCCCACTAGCTAGGTCCTCTCAAGATAAGAAAACTAACGCACATGGTATCCGGCTCATTGAAACGTGTCAAAACAATAATCTATTTATAATGAACGGCCTATTTGACGTTGACGTTAACGTTGGTAAATTAACATTCAGAGATAAGTCTTTAATTGATTATGTTATCGTAACAGCTGAAATGTTTCAATACGTTAACTCTTTCGAAATACTAGAAACTGATAGCCTATTTTCGGACGGACACAGTGCTTTAAAGTTTTCGTTTAAATTGTTTAACACACATAGAAACGCACAGTGTGATAAGAAAACAATTCATAATAAACCAAGTTGGCAGCCTCAATACTCTGAAAAATTTAAAGCAAACATATGTTTAGATGACATAGAATCTATTAAGTATCCATTGAACACATACCCGCAATCTATAAATACTGTAGAAAACGTAACTCGACAGCTACAGGAAATTTTCTCTAAATCGGTAGAACTCTCATTTCAAAAACGAGACTTTAATAAAACTCATATAAATAACGATAAAAACAAACCATGGTTCGGACCAAAATGTCATAAGGCCAGAAAAGACTACCATGACGCTAAAACAAATTACCACAATAATAAAAATAATGACAATAAAACAAGATTACAAAATGCTAGTAAACAGTATAAAAGAACTATGAATTATTATAATTTATATAAACGAAAATAAAACAAAAAACGCCAAAAAACTAAGAAAAATGAGTTCTGAGAACCCAAAGCAATATTGGAAATATTTGAACGGCCTTAAACATGACTCGAAAGCGCATGAGTCACCAACCGTATCGGAATTTTACGATTATTTCAAGAATATAAATAAATCGGACACTGAGTCACTGACAATAATGAATTCGACCCGGCGAATATGTAAACAATCCTAACGCGAACTACTTTTTAAATAAGGAAATTTGCGCAGACGAAATTTTAAAATGTATTAAAAATTTGAATAATGGAAAGGCAGCAAGCCCCTCCGATAATATTTTTATCGAGTATATAAAATATACTCAAGACCTTTTATTGCCTATTTACACTAAACTTTTCAATGTAATTTTAGATACTGGTTTTATCCCTAACTCCTGGTTAGAAGGGTATATTATACCCATTTATAAAAATAAGGGCGATTCGAAGAAACCGGAATGCTATCGCCCAATAACTATTTTAAGTACACTTGGAAAATTATTTACTTCTGTATTAAACAATAGAATAACGTTATATTCATTGAAATTCTAAAGAAAAAGAAACAGAAATTGTTCTGTGCATATGTTGATTTTTCTGCTGCATTTGACAAAGTATGGAGAATAGGTTTATGGCAAAAACTAATCAAAACGAATATAAATGGGAAAATATTTAATGTCATTTTTAACATGTACCAAAATATTAAATCAAGAATAACGCATTTAGGAGAATTTTCTGATAGTTTTTGTTCAAATACAGGCGTCAGACAGGGTGAAAATTTAAGTCCGGTTTTATTTTCCATCTTTTTAAATGATTTACAAGAATATTTAGAATCACAAGGATCAGTAGGGATAGAGTTAACAGATACACTCGACGCTGAATATTGGCTAAAACTGCTAGTTTTACTCTATGCCGATGATACAGTGATTATATCCAATTCATAAATTGATTTCCAGAATACACTACTACACTTTAATCAATTCTGCAAACAATAGCATTTAAATATTAACACAAACAAAACAAAGGTAGTGATATTCGGCGCAAGAAATGTAAGAAATTTCCAATTTCATATAGGCGAATCAAATTTAGAAATAACGGAAAAATATTTATACCTCGGAATAACTTTCTCTAGTAATGGTTCTTTTTTACAAGCTCGTAAACACATCGTCCAACAAGCAAAAAAGGGCCTATACCTTCTTTTAACAAAGGTAAATAATTCAAGTTTACCATTTGATTTAATTCTTAAGCTTTTTGACCATACTGTTCTCCCAATTCTTATGTATGGATCAGAAATTTTTGGCTATGAATCTTTAGAAATTATTGAAAAAGTTCAGTGCGAGTTCCTTAGAAAAATTACTAGTGCTCGAAAATCAACACCTAAATATATGTTATATGGCGAGACTGGAGTAATACCGATATCAATTATGGTTAAAAATAGGATGATTTCGTTTTGGAATAGGTTAGTTATTGGGAAAGTCTCAAAATTATCTTACAAAATTTATCAATATATGCTTAAACAACCAGAAAAAGATTTTAAATGGCTGAGACATATAAAACTATACTTGAATCTAGTGGTAGAGCAGATGTGTGGTTACTTCAACCTGCCCTAAATACCCCAAACTTAGGAAATTCTATAAAACAAATCCTTATCGATCAATATTATCAGGAATGGAACACACAACTTCAGTCATCTAATAAGGGTAGAACTTATGCAGTCTATAAAGAAACCCATAGTATTGAAAAATATCTAATACGTTTACCAAAGTATGAACGGGAAATAATGTTTAAATTTCGCACAAATAACACGCACTTTCCAGAAGAAACGGGACGCTGGGACGGGACGTCTCCAGAAAATAGGCGATGCATACTTTGCTCAGAAAACGCTATTGGCAATAGCAAACACTATTTATTACGTTGCGAAAAATTCAAAGAACAAAGACAAAACATTTTACAAACTTTCTGCCTTGAAAATAATGATCTTAACTTTAAACGAATTGTCAACATACAGTCGGAAAATGATCTTAAGATACTCTGTAAATTCTTATCAATATTGCTCAAGCATGTGCGTTAGGTGAGTTCCGCAGACATTAAAAGTATAGCCATTGAAAACATAAATTCATATGTTATTATAGTATTAATGTTGAAAAATGATTGTGTTAAATATGTAATTTGATATGCATGTCTTGAAATACGCTAGATAAGTCCCGCCGTGAGTACGTCGATCTTGCATAATCAATCTTGTTAAAGTATTTCAAATTTGAAAAGTAAAGAATTTCGAAGAGGTCCCGTACCCCCGACGGCACTTATGCATTATGAAATTACTCATTACTGAATTACACATTACATTATATTAACTATTACTGGGTAAACAGTACCTTATTGCGTAAATCCTATTAAATCCGGTGAATATTTATTCCAATTGCTTGTGAAACATGCAAATTTATTGATTTATTTATTTATTTTTTTTTTTTATTGAATTGAACAGGTTACACATGTGTTGTCTGAACCGAATTACTGCGTGACAAGAACAATTTGCACGAGGCATTCATTCACACAAAAAAAACAACCCCGTTGTAGTAAATAGAATTACTAGAGCGTGCAAATAAGGCATTGTGTACTTCCCAGTATTTATGTTATATAAGGTGCTAATATATCCTCACTTGAACCCCCATTTCTTTCTTGTAATGTATATTATTTTTTATATTTCTGAAAATAATTAAATGACTATTAATATTGTATTATCTTTTCAGGACTTTACAACCGGAACATATATATATATTGTAAAATATTACTTTGTAAACCCCTTATGTATTTTATTAATACCTGGGTGAATAAAGATGTTTGAATTGAATTGAATTGAATACAGGTAATGACTGACTGACTGACTGACTGATAAGATTAACGGCATATTACACTGTATTTATTACAAATAAAGTGAAATTAAAGATTGTTTCTTTCGTTATCTACTTTTATTTTCTTTACAACATAAGTGAATATGAATACAATGTCCGGCGCAATCTTTTTAATAGTAAATCAGAAGGGAATAACTATTAATCCACCCATGATATGATCCATGATAGGAATCAACTATGGCTTTTTTTATCTTCATTTAATGCAATGGTTGCATTACATGATACTCATTCTTAATTATTACTTGTTTCAAACTACTTTTAAACAGAGACATAGATAATAATAGTTATAATAATAGCTATCTATGTCTCTGTTTTAAATTAAAATTGAATATTCTTTTGTAACACAAATCCAATTCATTTAATAAGATATGAACAGTGAGTCAACATAATTGCGATAACATACAACAAACATCAATAAATGAATCTCCTCACTTCTCCCTAAAGTCTCCCCACTTCTCCCTAAATCAGCTGGAGGGAGAAGTGACTTCTCCCTAAATTTTGAACCTAGCTTGAGCCCTGATGGCTTGACTCTTTGCCAGAAAAAAAAATCATCTGGGCGGGTCCTTGTGGCCTGAAATTTTTTTTTTTTTACATAGACTGTATATCTTGCTAATTCTTTGAAGGATAACAAAATAGTTTGGTACAAATGTTCACCTTGATGGGGTGGTGTGTTGCACACAAAACTCAGTTCCAGTGCTCAAAGGTCAAGGTCACAACTTCTGATCAGTGTAAAACTCTTGTCCAGAGTGTAACTTCCACATGCATGGAGGGATTAAATATAGTTTGGGACAAATTTTCTCCATAGTGAGCTAGTGTTGCGCGATAATTGAGGTGTCTTGGGTAAAGGTCAAGGACACACTAAGGGGTTAAAATAAAAAATCTGAAATATAAAAATAGAAATCTTTGTGTTGAAGTTGTCTTTGGGAATATGATGTCTGCTTAAATAATATATCATTTCCAATCTATGACTTAAAACTGAACACTGTATTGCATTTCATCTAACATTTGAATCTCAATCAGACCCTTTATGGCAGTTTGTAACCCTTTTTTGACAGTTTGTCACACTTTTTTGTCCAACTCTATAATGTTGGTAAACCCAAATACATGGATTGAAAAAAAAAGTTAAGTTCACCTTTTGATAATTTTTTTCTCCTTCAGTTCCAGAGAAACATAAATGGTCAGAAATTAGGATAATTCTCGAAGAACTTACCTCAAATGTGACAATGGAGTCTTACTTGATGATGTTGTATGTGACCTTAGAGCAGGAGTCGGCTCTCAAAAACTTCTTTGTGGATCAGGGATGGCGGTTTTGTAAACCAGGTACATGTAATAATATAATTCAATCATAAATACAAAAGAATTTGTTAATTCATTGAACTTTTTTCTTGCATCGAGTTGAGAACATTTTACTGTTAGGTAATATCTGGTAATGGGATAAGAGTGTCAACTGTATCACTATGTTAAAAGTCTGTCAGGCTATGTTGGCATACATTTGTCAGTATGTAAAGGAGTTTTGTATAATCTTGACTTAAATACTGACCTACTGAATTTTTGTGTCGCCTTGAAAAGGTGACATATAGGGGTTACTTTTGTCGGCGGTGTCGGCGGCGGCGGCGTCTGTGTCGGCGTCGTTGTCGGCGTCGGCGTCCGCTAAAGCTTGTCCGGAGCATAACTCAGTCACTATAAGTCTGATTGACTTCAAACTTGGTATGCATGCTTCTTTCAATAACCCGAAGTGCAGTGCACAAGGACCGGTACTCTGCAGTTCTTATTTTTTGAGTTATTGCCCTTTGTTAATTTTCATACTTTAATTTTGTCCGGGCCATTTCTCTTCAAGTAAAAAAGCTATAGACTTGAAACTTCATAGGATGATAGATCTCATTAAGAAGAAATGCAGTGCACAAGAACCAGTACTCTGCACTTCCTAATTTTTGAGTAATTGCCCTTTGTTAATTTTCATACTTTATTTTTGTCCGGGCCATTTCTCCTAATGTATAAAAGCCATGGACTTGAAACTTCATAGGATGATAGGTCTCATTAAGAAGAAGTGCAGTGCACAAGAACTGGTACTCTGCATTTCTTATTTTTTGAATTATTGCCCTTTTTTAATTTTCATACTTTATTTTTGTCCGGGCCATTTCTCCTAATGTATAAAAGCCATGGACTTGAAACTTCATAGGATGATAGGTCTCATTAAGAAGTGGTGCAGTGCACAAGAACTGGTACTCTGCATTTCTTAATTTTTGAGTTATTGCCCTTTGTTTATTTTCATTTTTTAATTTTGTCCGGGCCATTTCTCCTTAAGTATAAAAGCTATGGACTTGAAACTTCATAGGATGATAGATCTCATTATTAAGAAGTGCAGTGCACAAGAATCGGTACTTTGTATTTCTTAATTTTTGAGATATGGCCCTTTGGTAATTTTCATACTTAATTTTTGTCCTGGCCATTTCTCCGAAAGTATAAAAGTTATGGACTTGAAACTTCATAGGATGATAGATCTCATTTAAAAGAAGTGCAGTGCATAAAAAATGATACTCTGCATTTCTTATTTTTGAGTAATTGCCCTTTGTTGATTTTCTTACTTTATTTTTGTCCTGGTCATTTCTCCTCAAGTATGAAAGCTATGGACTTGAAACATTATAGAATGATAGATCTTATTGATAAGAAGTGCAGTATACAGAAATGCTGCTCTGCACATATTATTTTTTTAGTTATTGCCGTTTGTTATTTTTCATATTTCATTTTTGTCCTGGCCATTTCCCCTAAACTACATTGTTCACAAGGCGACACATCCGACTCGCGGAGTTCTAGTTGTAGTGAATTTGCCATTCTTTGAATTTAGAACAGTCCATTCAAAGCTTGAGGGATTTCAATATCAATAAACATGAGTTACGTGTAGACTGAAGGGTATAGAGCCTTGTCAGTCTGCAGGGATGTGCTGGGTCTGTCTGTATACTTGTGGCAAAGGCCAGTCACTTTGGGTTCCTACAGGTAAGGCTAAATATATTGGTTCAGGACAATTATAGATATAACTGTAACATATTTTTCAACTGAGATAACAGTTTTACGCCCTCTAAATGACTTGTAAATTTCCTTAAAACAAATGACAAAATGCATAAAACGATTGCTGAATAAATGAAACACTGCTTAAACTAGTAGCATAATTTTTTTTGTTCTGGCAGGGACGTCCTATTCTGTTTACTCACAACATTCATAAGATTATTGGACAAGCATAATTCTACCTTTTTGTAGATTTAAAAAAAACTTTCATCAGATACCCTTCTCAAAAAAAAAAATTACTAAAAACTTAAGGCAGATTTTAAGTAAATTTCAAAATATCAGTTAAACATGTTATAAGGTACATTTAGATCTACCTGTATTTAAAAAGTTTTAAAGATTTTTTTATCAACTTTGACAGATTTATCAGTTACCACAGACAAAGTTGGACCAAGTGTTACTACACCACCAGTAGTTCCACTGAAAGATAAAGCTGCTGCTGACGATACTGTTGCTGATCAAAACAAACAGTCGTCTAGAATTGTTGTAAAGGAACCAGAATCAACCCCAAAAACAGATTCACCACTAACAAGAAATAAAGGAAAAAGAAAAACAGAATCACCGCAAGCAACATCAACAAATGTCAAACAACCTAAAGTTTTGTTGCCCCAATCAACTGTGACTGTGCCAAAAAGTAGTGAATCTGTAAGTTCTAAGACAGAAGTTGTAGATAAACCACTTAGCTCAAGTAGCAATTTAACACCTATCACTGTGCTTGGAGAAGATGGGAAACATTTTACTATAAAAATAGAACAGGATGCTGATGATTTGCAAGAAAATGTTGTTCAAGCAGAAAGCAGACATGATGGAATTTGTGCTAATTCTAGTGATAATGTGATGTGCAATGATAATAATAGTTTTTACGATGGTGGTGATGATAACTTTCATGATGACGGTGATGATGTTAATGATGAGTCTACTGATATGGATTACAGTAATGATGGAGCATTAGGAAATACAAGTGTTAACACAGAAAATCAGTTGTCAGCAGGTGATTCAATGGGCTCCGCTTCACTGAAAGGATCTACCAAGTCCAAAGGCAAAGTAAGTGCCAATCTTCATTTGACCTTGGTTGATATTGAGTTTAAGGACATTTTCGGAAGTTTTCAACATATAGGCAGAATAAAAACTGTTCAGTAGTATTTCTTGACACTTATTGTTAGAATATGACAACAGAATTATTATATTATATTTAACTTTGGGAAAAAAAGTGCCACCAATCTTAATTTGGAGTTATCTGCCCTTGAATCTTAATTATTTATTTGTTAAAAATAGATCATTTTAAGGGAAGATTACTTATACATATGCAGCTGTACATATGTTTATACAATCCTGTTTTAACTTCTGGGTTATCTTTTTCTTTTATTGTTAATCCTAATATTTAATAAGATGCAATGCCATATATTTTTTCCATTTTGAATAAAGGAAAGTACTTTAAAAGTAGGTCATTTTTAAAAGAAATGACTGTAAGAGGTTAAGAAAAAAGGGAAAAAAACATCTCTATAGATTTGTTCTTGGTACATCATTACATGTAGTTGCACATTGACTGTAAAGGAAGTGAGCTACTTGAAAATAAGAAAAACTAAGTAATTGTTTACTGTCATATGAATTATCTGCCCTTGAATTAAGCAAAAAAGTCCAGTTCAGGGGCAGATAACTTTTTAAAAAAAAACGGAAAAAGGTCATCACCAATTTTTTTTCGTTAAAATTTTTCTATTGATATGTTCTTACCAGATATGACAAGTTGAAATAAATTCTATGTGACAGTTTTAATTTTGTGTATATACGACATATGTCTATAATTTATTAAATCATTGAAAGTGTCCTTAAAGGGAAAGTCTTGTCCAATTAGAAAGTAAGACTTACTTTTGGACAAGAAGAGATTAGACTTTTTATAGGGGTGCAACGATTCAGCTATCTCTCGATTTGATTTTCGGTTTATATTGATTTTGCTATTGATTGCCTTTCATGTTGAACAGTAGGCTTGAGTGCGATAGACATTACAAAAATTTTGATGGATATATAAACCAAATTACACATACATGTTAACTTTTTTCATGATCAAGCGTGAGACTTTTCTTCAAAAAGAGGGAGATTTTAGAATTTGCAATAAACAAAGAAGAAAGTTCTGACATCAAAAAGAGGGAGATTTCTTTAATTTGTGAAAATACCCCTTATTCTAAGTAAAATCTTTGAAAATATGGCTGCAGAAAGTGGGAGTCTCCCGCTAAAAGTGGGAGAGTTCACATGTATGAATACATAACATATGAAAATACAGTAATCAGCAGGAGAAGCCCTCAAAATTTGCGGTATGCTGTAAGCCTTTCCATGTGATCCTCAAGGAATCTCAAGAAGTCGCAGCAAAACTAAATTAAAGATTACAAAGAACACCGAAATGATTAAACAAAACTAAACTTTAATACAGATATGCAATTAAAAGAAAAGGAGGAAAACAACAAATCAAGTTGTAGTTTAGAAAGAATAAAAAGATTATGTAAGAACAAATTGATTTGATTCTTTACCTTGTCATCTTTCAACAATTGAAGTGACTTTTTATGCTTACCATAGGGAGAGCAAATAGTCACCACCATTGTCTGTCCTTCTGACTAACAATTGGATACCTACTAAGGTGGCTACTTAATTGTTGTTCTTATAGCCATATAAGAGTAAGCATAGCCCATAAGTGCTTACAGAATGACATTGATCATAGAAATAGCACAGTTACTTATTGACCTTATTGTTCCTGTTGCCACGTACATGTAACTACTCAAATGTTAGCACTCCCATCTTTCCATACAGCCGTAAGTGACATTCTAAAATGAATATCCGGGTTCTTGTAGAAGATCTACTACAAAGAAAAATACCAATAAGGTCAACTCGGGGAGAACATCTATTTGTCACATTTTTGTCTGGAGATTAGCTTTAAATGAACATTATATGGAAGGAAATTTGATTTAAACTTCACTCAGTGATAACTCTACCTTACTTAATTTTTTAATCATCTCCCTTAACTTAAAATGCTTGATCAGAGTATAACTTCTAAATTATCAATGATAGCTCATTGAAAGTGCACAAAGTTGTAGGAAATGCAGTGTCAAAGAACCATAACTGTATGTTGCTTAGGTTTTTAATTATCTCCCTTTATAATACTCGACAATGCTTGTTCTGAGAATAACTTGAAAATTATCAAAGGAATTTGATTAAAACTAAATTAAATTCACCAAAAAATGAATGTATTTAGTACAAATGGATAGTTGTTAATGCCAAAATTTGTGGGCTGCTTTTAAGAAAGTGGTAATCTAAGTTTTTCAATAGCCTTGAAATTCTATCTTATCTCGTAACTTTTTTACTTGGAATAAAATCAATTAGAATTGTTACAATTATGATTACAGTTAATAGTCTTAGATAAGGTATTCGGATTAGATAACGTGGTCATTCCGTTGAAACTGTCAGAAAACATTTTTAAATGAAACTGAGAAAAGGAGTAAATTTAAACATGTAACTGTTGAAGCCTTACGTAGCTTTACTAACAGTGCTTCTGTTTGGATGAAGGGGTGTGGATGAGTGGTTTACTGGAAAAGTATTAATAGTGGAAAACAAATATATGTTTCAAGATTGAATATTTGTCAAAATATTTGGAAAACAGGTTGACTATTGACATTTTACATTGAAAAGATAAACTACAGTCGAGACTACCTTAGCGACCCCCTGATTTCAACGACTCCCTATCTTATCCGACCTTGTTTCATTTCTCCCAATGTATTTTCCTATATAAATGGTCTGAATTAAACGACTCCCTGTTGTATATGACAAGCGACCCTAATTGTCTGGTCCGAATGCTATGTTTTGTCTGATTTCAACGACTTTCACACCTTTTAATTGTCCTTTTATCAGATAAATAATACCTATTTTGACACCCAGAGGGCCAAAATAATTAAGTCTAGTTATAATCCAGTAGCAAACAAACTCTACACACCTCAATTACACAGTTAACATGTATACATGTATCGAGTGATGTAGCGTCTGTTCCCTACTGCCAAATATGGTGAGCATGACGCAATTGATGTGTGTGTAATGTACATAATGACCAAAGTAAACGGTCAGATTTTTTTTTTATTATAGAGTGCCAACGGAAGATTTTTTTAGGCAGCATTTTTTAAATTTACCTTTCTGTGGCTGCATAATTAATACGGAAAAAAACACAGAAAAAGCTTTGGATATGGATATGTTAAACTTTGAAAAGTATGATATTTATTTCAATGATTTGAATGCATCGAATTCCAGTTTATTTTATACCATAAAGATTCAATTTAAAAAGATTCAATTTAAATCTTAGTACAAAAAATAAAATTAAATTTTATATGATATACATGCAATTATATTCATTGAACTTTACGGACTTACAGGACTGTTGGTCAAAATGTGTTGTGCATCTCAGATTTTGCTTGTTTTTATTTTCTTTTAAGCATAAGAAATTTTTAATATTGGGGAAAAATCAAGATATCAACATTAGTAAAATTGGATGTCGTTTTTTATGTGCCAACCACTTAGGTTTTAGGAGAGTCCCTCAGAATTTCCTTTGTCTGTCCCTCTTTCATACTGTCTGCTGTATGTCAGTAGACTGACAATGGAGCAGGGTGTTCACTAGCCATGAAATCCTGAGGGACATTTTGACTAAGTTTTACCAACAACAAGGCCAAATTCCCATGATTTTAGCAAAATTTGACCCTCCAGTTAAAATCTTGAGGGTCAAATAAAGCCTTTTGGAAATTTGAAGGGTCAAAGAGTCATTGCAATGGTCAAACAGACACCCTGATGGAGTGTAGGGTATATTTGTCTAATGGACACAATTCTAGTTACTTCCATTGTATACATCTGTTCTCAAAAATTTGTCTTAAAAGAAAATCAAAGAAATTCATTTTAAGAATAATCTCTGGATATATCGCCACTGTGATTGTTTATAGAAACTCCTTTACCTATCCATTTTCATTCGCCATTTGCAGGGGGTCGATCTTAAAGCGGTACAAAATGTTTTTAAGCAAAGTAAAAAGATACCGGTACAATACGGAATTAAAACTGAAGAAATTGAAATCAGGTAAGAGCATTTTTTTTCTTCAAATATCAGTTGTATATTTTAATTTTAAAAATAACATTGTGCACGCAGGTCAGAACTTATATAATTGTGCATGATGTTCAAAACGAAATGATAAATTTCATAATACTGAGAAAGTTATTGAGGTATATGTTGCTGCAAATTCAATTGTCACCTTGATATGCACTTGCAAAGAAATACAGAGTCTGTAGCTTTGGATTAATTCAAAAATCAGACTTAATAGTGATTATTGATAAAACATCCAGTTTTGAATATGTTAATCCTTATGTTTACCATTCCAGTATATCAAAAATGATGTAATTTTACTATGATATAGTTATTAAATACATTCTCGTTGTTTCCTATTATAGTTATTAAATATAAGAATCATTCTTTACTCAAGAAAGTAAAAAATGAAAATAAGAAATTATCAATAGGTTGTGGTTTATGCACATGAACATATAAATTCTATCAATAATAATTGGTCTGATTTCCTTATATGGAAAGGATATTTTCTTTAAAATTGGAAACATTTCCAACTGCCTGTAGATGACCCTAATTTATTAGTCATAAAAGGTCAAGGTCACATTGACACTTTCATTTAACTCTTAGTCCTTGATTCTTATAAAATGTTAATACATGTTGGGAAGAGACCCCTATTGAAATATACATGTTTTACTTTTCAGTTCAAGAACTGATGACAATAGTTGTTTTATATGTGGAAAAATTCTTAGTACGTCGAAAAGCTTAAAAAATCATCTAATGACTCACGTCACAGATGTGGATCACCAGTTCAGATGTCACGTATGTGACAAGTCGTATATAACAAAGGACCGATTGGACAAACACATAGAAGTACACAGTGGCTATGAGCATTTGTGCCACAATTGTGGGAAATCTTTTCAAACTCAGTATACTCTCAAACGTCACATGGACACGATGCATTTAAATA